GGACCCTGGGATCATGACCTGAGCCGAAGGCAGTCGCTCAACCGACTGAGCCACCCAGGCACCCTATAAACAATTTCTTTATCATGACTAGAAAACAGTGTTACATAACAATAATAATCATAATCTACAGTAATAATGAGGAGGAGATGGGACAAAGAACATGTCTGAATGGTTGTGCTCGCTTCGGCAGCACATATACTAAGAACATGTCTGAATGGTTAAAACCCTTAATCAGATACTTTCTAAAAATGATTTGCGGGCGCCTGAGTGGCTCAGTTGGTTAAGCGACTGCCTTCAGCTCAGGTCATGATCCTGGAGTCCCGGAATCGAGTCCCGCATCGGGCTCCCTGCTCAGCAGGAAGTCTGCTTCTCCCTCTGACGCTCCCCCATCTCATGCTCTCTCTGTCTCTATCTCATTCTCTGTCTCAAATAAATAAATAAAATCTTTAAAAAAAAAAAATGATTTGCACAGAGGGAGTTCTGAAAGCATTCTCTCATAGAGCTTGTATGAAGTTCAGTCCATTTGGACCAATCATTCTATGGGAGAGAAAATTAACTGTGTATACTTTTAAATTCTTACCTGACCTATTAGCAACTTTAACCCTGTTGACCATTTCCTGCTTGAAAAAAATTTCCCTGGGTTTCTCTCACATCACTGGTTTCCCTCCAAATCCTCTAGATATTATTCTCTTTTGCTAGCTCTTGTTTGTATGCTCATCCCTTAAATTTTAGGATTCCCTGGAATTCTTTTTTAGGCCCTCTTTTTTTTTTTTTACCTTCATCTATACTATCTATAAGGGTTTGTATCTACTCCCTTGGTTGTCATAAGTCTCATGCTAGTGTCTCCAAAATCTTTAAATCTCCAACTCAGATCTTCTAGACAGCTATTTTTATAGGCTGCATTCTTATACCATTCCAGAGTTCACTCATAGGACTCTATGCAGAATATTCATTGAGCACTTAACAGGTACAGTCATTTTGCTAGGGCCACTGAGAAACACACAAAAACTAGTAGACCAATAATCCCTTAAGAGACTTACACATGAAAAGGCCTAGCAACCTAACAATGTTTGAAAGTTGAAGACTCTGATCCCTTGGGTTTCTGCTAAACATTGTCTCTACCTAGCTAAATGTTTGAAAGAAAAAGCAAGTTGCTAAATGGGTAATGAGTAAATTTTATGTCAGGAATGTAGCTGCTTTCCGTTAATTTTATTTACGAAAACTTCAGCTGACAATGTTGTTTTAAGTGAAAACAAACCAAATATGTAACCCCGTATAAAACAGATACTGTCAGTGAGTCAAATATATAAAAATACACAAGAAAAGGATTTAAAAAGTGAAAAGATAGGGGGCGCCTGGGTGGCTCAGTCGTTAAACATTTGCCTTTGGCTCGGGTAATGGTTCCAGGGTCCCGGGACTGAGCCCCGCATCAGGCTCTCTGCTCAGCGGGAAGCCTGCTTCTCCCTCTCCCACTCCCCCTGCGTTCCCTCTCTCGCTGTGTCTCTCTCTGTCAAATAAATAAATAAAAATCTTTAAAAAAAAAAAAAAGTGAAAAGATAGTACGTGATTAGCTTCCACAGCTGCAAGAATAAAAAGACAAATGACAATCATCAATTAATAGTAATTGATGAAGAAATTCATAATGCTGAAGAAGTTAACACTACGCTAACCTACCTTCCCAAGCAAGGAAAAGTATAAAAGACTAAAATGGTCTTTGAGACAACTATGAACAGCTACCAAATGATATTTGCTGTTCAAAAGTTCAGATGTCAATAGTTGATTTTTTATTTATAAGATTTATCCCCTTGTTAAAATATAGCATCAACAATTGTGAATAACAGATTGGTACTATATATTTGATTAATTTTACAATGCATGGAATATGAACATCCATGCACCAAAAGTTATACCCATAGTAGATAAAGCAGAAAAGTATAAAGTTTTCTGCGGGAGGGGAGAAAAGAGGTTAGGGTAGAACAAAAATGTTAAGATATTAATATCTAGGAGGTGGATTCATGGGGATTTGTTATACCTTATTTACTTTATTGTAGATTTAAAATAATTTGTATATTTTATAAAGAAAAAGTAAAATGTAAGGCATACTAAAAAATGTACTAAGTCTTTTTTTTTTTTTTTTTAAAGATTTTATTTATTTATTTGACAGAGAGAGAGAGACAGTGAGAGCAGGAACATAACCAGGGGGAGTGGGAGAGGGAGAAGCAGGCTTCCTGCTGAGCAGGGAGCCCGATATGGGGCTCGATCCCAGGACCCTGGGATCATGACCTGAGCTGAAGGCCGATGCTTAACGACTGAGCCATCCAGGCACCCCTCAAAAGTACATTTTTAATAAAACCACTTCACATTGCTCATCAGTTTTTATTATCAATTCCCTAACCAATATCTGTATGTATATGTGTGTAATGCAAAAATAGAGGATGTAATTAATATCTTAAACGGGATTTCTTTTAGAAATCACTGAAATACAGGGCGCCTGGGTGGCTCAGTTGGTTAAGCGACTGCCTTCAGCTCAGGTCATGATCCTGGAGTCCCTGGATCGAGTCCCGCATCAGGCTTCCTGCTCGGCAGGGAGTCTGCTTCTCCCTCTGACCCTCCCCTCTCTCATGTGCTCTCTCTTATTCTCTCTCTCTCAAATAAATAAATAAAATCTTTAAAAAAAAAAAAAAGAAACCACTGAAATACAAGTTAAAATCTTACTTAATAATACCCATACAAATATCAAAAGCGAAATCATATGTTACAAAAGAAGGTTAACACTGGTTTTATAATTCTGGGGGACTTTTTAGAGAACATTCAAGCATATTAAGCACTTAAAGATTTAAACCATAGAAGCCAGTAAAACTATATAGTGACACTTCAGTGCTCAATAAGATTCTTTAAAATGTAGACTTCAGTAATATCTTTTCCTTCTATGGGACATAGACAAATCTGTCTCAAACCAAAAAAAAAAAGGCTTGCAAATATGACATTCTGATGAAGATATTAAGTTTTTAAAAGATTTATTTATTTTAGAGAGAGTGAGAGAGAGAGAGCGAGTGGAGGGGAGGGGCAGCGGGAGAGGGAAAGAGAGAATATCAAGCAGACTCCCCGTTGAGCTAAGAGCTCGATGGGGGGGCCCAAGCTCCTGACCTGAACCGAAATAGAGAGTCGGATGCTTAACTGACTGGACCACCCAGGCGCCCCAAAGATATTAATTTATATAAAAGTGCTTCTTTATAAAAATTTAAAAATTTGTATATTCATGTACAAAGTTACATTATTTCAGCAACTCCTATAGCGTATTTGAATAATATCAGGCTTTTTAATATATTTTACCTGTCCCAAGGAGCTGAAGTCTCGAAAGACTCTCCTAATACATAGTATTCCAAACCCAAGTCCTGTTAAAACATATATACAAAAATCAAGCAATTACAACAGGTGCAGAAGAATCGATAATATTGTAATATTGCTAGTATTTCATATAATTTTTAGTATTACATGTTTCTAATGTAACCTCCACTGCTCTTTACTCTCCACTCCATAAAAGCACCAGAAAGTGGCCCTGAGAATGAGCTATAACCTTCAGGAGGACAGGAACTTTGTCTTATTGTCCGCTGTACCTTTGGCACCAGGCAGTGTGCCTGACACATGGTAGGAATTTAAATATTTCTTCAAGGAATGGAGTCTCTAAGAACCGTCTATGTACATGTAGAGGATACTAGAACAGATTTTTTAGTAGCCTGAACAGCAAATTAAACAACAAGAAAAAGTGGTCATCAGGATGGAAGGACTAGGACAACAGAGAAGTGAGGGGAGGGGGACTAAAAGAAGAAAGTATCTCTGTCCTGAAATCAACTTTTCTTTAAAAACAAATTAGAGCCCTTCTTTGTAGTAACTAAATAAAATAGGGTATCTGGAAGAACCTCTACTAGGAAAATATATTTTATAACACACAAGATATAATTCTTATTTGGTAAGTAATTTATAATAAAAATTTCTTTAACCAGAATACAATTGTTTTAATATCAAAACTGGAAAGAACAATTCATAAGCCACCACACAAGTGAAAAGATAGGAAAGAAAATTTTATAAGTAGAAAAATCAATACATGTTAAGTTTTCACTTCTAGCAAAATGAATCACTTCAACTCTACCGTTGGTTGACAGGAAAAATCCCCAATTACTGATCTAAAATGTGTGGCTTTTCTCTTCTGCATTCATTTATGAAATTAACAGGTTAAAATTTAAGAAAATAATTTTATTCATTCAAAGTAAGAAAAAGTATGGTCTGCAACATAAACTGATGAGGGAAATACAAGATAACTTACTCGAATGTATGCAATGACATAGGTCAGCAAATAACCTCTCTGTCCATTATCTTCTCCAGCTGCCAACCCACTGTAAAGAACAAAGTGTCAATATATAGCATATATATTTATTAAAAATATATAAAACTAACCAAACTAATATGACGCCCCAAGATAACTGCTTAATGGATTAACAAATATTACACTGCATCTCATTTTTATTTTAATCTAATTTATCATAAATGTATCAAAGAGCTGTCAAAAGAATAAGCTTGGATAACAAAAACCTAAAAATACTTTTAATATTTCAGTTTGGTCATTAATTTCAAACTTTCATCCATTAAACTAATAAAACTGACTCATATGAACTCAACTACTTCTACCCATACTGACAAAAGAACAGAGAATTAGCCATGAGAAACAAACTTAAACTTTAATAAACTTCACAAGCATAATAAGATACTTAAAATACTCTTATTCATATATTCTTATCCATATATTCATGTGTCATTATAGTCTCTCTTTTTTTTTTTTAAGATTTTATTTATTTATTCATGAGAGACGAGAGAGCGAGGCAGAGGGAGAAGCAGGCTCCCAAGGAGCAGGGAGCCCGATGTGGGACTCAATCCCAGGACCCTGGGATCATGACATGAGCCGAAGGCAGACGCTTAACCATCTGAGCCACCCAGGCGCCCATTATAGTCTTATTCACATATAAAGATGTATGACTGACTACATCTTCCAAATACCAAGAAGTTTTTTGAATACTCATGCACACTGTATATGAAGTATTAGACAGAATGTTTATTTTATGAAACTTATAACTTAAATGAGACAAAACATACTTACACAGAAATATTGAAGTGTATGAAGCAACATATAGACAATTACAAGAAAACAGGTAAGGTTTTATTACCATGAACTATCCATTTCAATTTGAAAGTAGTTTTATCCACAGAAATTGTATTTGGTGATCTAGTTAGAACTAATCCCATATAACATGTAATTCAGTCCAAGTACTCTGCTTTGTGAAAGTCATTCTTATTTTAACAGACTATGAATGATTATTGATTTCTACTACCTTCAGTAAAGAGCTTTTAATTTTCCTTGTTTCCATCATCAGATAGAAATTAAATTTTAACTATTCTTAGTCAATTAAAGAAAACTTCCACAAACTCCCAAAGTACCCATGAAAAAAATCCCTCAATACAACTAGATAGAAAGAAAAGTATATTTTCATGTGACTTTCTTGGGTCATAATGGATGATTAACTTCTCTGTATCTCCGTTCAATCCCGTAATTACACTTCCTTGGTCTCAGGATACTGAGCCCTTAACCACGGTGTTGCCCAAGACTCAAATCTTGAGCCTCTGTTATTTGAGCTTCCTCTGGAAGAATCAATTTTCTTATTGCTTCGATTAACACCTTATAGTTAAGTTCTTCCTTCCCCTGAAGTTTTGCTTGGATTTAGCAGTAAGAAAATAATTTAGCATAGATATACCCTTGTGCTTTCTGCATGGAGCACTGGGTGTTATGCACAAACAATGAATCATGGAACACTTCATCTAAAACTAATGATGTAATGTATGGGGATTAACATAAGAATAAAAAAAAGTACTGAAAAAAAAGATATACCCTTGTGCTATATAAATACTGAAAGGCAATTTTAGGCTAGGATGTAAAGGCCAAATCAAATTTCCTTGGAATTACAGCTGCATATAAACAAATTAGTATCACCCAGAGAAGTGGCAAACACTTGATAGGAGCAGCTCTAGTCTAGAACCACTTGGGGGTGGGGTACAATAAAATGAAATGGGGGGTTGTTTGTATTACTAAATGTTAATGAGCAAAGAAGACAGAACTTAAGTCAAGCAGTTGAGAGTGAAAAGTAAGAAGAAATAATATAATTCTGGGTTGGATATATATGGGTTTGCGGTTAGGGGTAGGAAGTCAAATAAAGTTCCAAAACAAGAAGGAAACAAGTCAGAAAGTTGCTGTGGTAAATGTGTGGAGGAAAATATCTGAATCTATACCTTGGGTAGATATGAAGCAGAGTCAGACACTGAGTCCAAGAAAGAAAAAAAACACTACTGAGGTAGTAAATAGGAACAATTCATCTTGGGTCTAGTGGCAGAAAGAAAGGACAGTGAAGACTAGCAAAGGGTACAAGAGACCTGCACTGGGAATCCTTGAGAAGGCACATTCTAAGCTGGTATTTGGTGAGAAGTAACAGGTATGGACATTTAGTAGGCCTATCTCTCTTATATCAGAATGAGAAAAAGTCTTACTTTGCAGTCCCATGTCAAGCCATTTTTCTTTAGATCCTGTTCTAACATCTGGTGGGGGTGGGGAGATCTGCTCCACTATGGAATTCAGTGTGACAAACCACACTGAAACATGCATTTTCTTATCCAAAACAGGATGAAATTGATATCCATTCTAAATTCATAAACCCCAAAGGAGAAGAAAAGTCATTCTGGGCTTGCTTTTCTGAATCATAGGTTTCTCTGCAAATTTAGCTTTCTGTAACTTCGATCTCTCTCTCTTTTTTCTTTAGCTTTCAGAACTCTATCTTCTAGACAGAATTACCTTAAAATACAATATAAACAACAGTAGGGCATAGAAATTAAATGCTTCTAACTTGCCATTTTCACAGCAGCCACTCCAAAAAGGTATACTAAGATTCAAACTGCTTTATGGTAAAGTAGTAATATCCATCCCCTACTTCCTGCTCCCCTCCGCAAATTTCAAACATCAATTAACAAGTTTCTTAAACAAATTTAAACCTGTTTCATGAGAAAGAACTGGGAAGACTAATGAAAGAGGAATAAGAGACAATCTTTTTATATAAAAGAGCCATCTGGTGAACCTAATCACTCTCATGTTGAATTACATTAAACAACTTAAGCACACACTTTAAAAATAACAATAACACATTACCTTAAGTTCTATGGTAAATGTCAGTACATCTGTCATGATTGCTGACAGGGAATGTTTGTTCTGTTTAGCTCTTAGAGAAGTTAAAGTATATTACTAGCAAACATAGATAAACAACCAAAGTATGATTATTCAACATTTGCCTATAATGTTCTACTGGATCATATGTGTTCAAAGGTATTAAACGGTGTTAGGGTGGGGGTGGAAGGCAAGGAGGAAAAACGGCTAGGATAACACATAAAAATGTTCTAAACTGTTGGGAGTACTTCATTAAAAACCATCAATTCAAAGCTAATGAGGTGGTAGGAACAGAAGATAAAACAAAAGAACAGAAAATAAAGGGCAGATGAATAATGCCCTAATTCAAAGTAAAATACATGAGCTAAACTAACTCATGAAACTTTAGCAGAAATAAATTTAGTGCTGCTTTTTAGTTATGCATAAGAAATCATTCACTGGGGAACAAGGGTTGGCCAAGTGGCATCTTAAGTAAGGAAAATATCCCTGAATCTTTCAGTGATTAGAACAAAGAACTAGTGCCTAGAGAGAAACATGGAGAAAACCAGGACTTCTGCTAGAAAACCACATGAAGATATTTCCAAGTATCAAATCAAATCAAATCAAAACTAAAACAGCCCTAACTCATCTGCCTAATGACAGCCTGGACTGTGAATACTGAAGATTTCTACATCCAAATGAAGGAAACCAGGATGAAAGTACATAAGAAATTAATTAGAACGTAACTAATAAGTAGCAAATAGTAATAGCCAAAAAAACGAGACCCCAATCAGAGTGTGAATTTTAATACTTTGCCCTTGCTTTAAATAGGTATCTCACTTACTATAACCTATTTTAATGGGTGAATTTGATTTTTTGTTTGCTATAAACAAATCACTGGAATTAACTCAATAGTTCTGGGGCTTCAGTATCAGTATCTAAAAAGACCTGGGTTCATCTTAAGGAAGTTCATTTTTAACTTTTAAGTTGTAAATGACTGGAATTACATGGGATAAACAAGACAAATTACATGACAAGAGAGTTCATGACAGTTGGCAGCTCAACTTAAAACTGACAAAATGGCTCTGATAAATACCTAAAGATTAAAATACACTGTTTTAAGGGTGGCACAGCAGTTAGGCATAAATGAAACAGAATAAAAATTGTTAGGGAAAAATATTCAGTTTCCTTAATTCTTTCAACAAATGTTCAAACAAGCATCTAGTATATACCAGGCATCAGCAGTAATGTCCAAGAAAAGGCAGGTCATGCCTTATAAAAATTATGTCTTACCTCACATAAAAAGGCATTTTGCCATCATCCTATCGCCCCCCCCATCCAACAAAAAATGTAGCACATTACTAACTACTAATGATTTTGCTGGCTACTCTGAATTGTAATTACACTTAAAGATATTACAAAGTGGAATTTCTGTGCATGTGTATCCATGTGTGGGGGTGTGTGTGTTGGAAGTAGGAGGAGGACCAGGGGACTGAGGTGAAACTAAGCAAATTTACCTTATTTATATAAAATGATTCAAATATTATAGCATGCATTTCCCTACAAGTGCTCCTGAACGATTCTGAAATCCCAATTAAATATTTAAATATATAAAAAACAATTTTTTAAAGTTCCAGCCTCTAATATTTAAGGTTAGAATAGAAATAAAAGAGTTAATTTAGATATAAAAGATTTTAATTTAAATCACCTTAATTGTTTCTAATACCATGGATTTTATGAAAAAAGTTTAAAAATCAAATTATATATAAACTCCACATAACTTAGAAACTAAAAAACAGGTACATGTACATTTCAAAAATAAATTCAGAGATTAACCTGAAATCCAAGCCTTTTGGTTATTAACTGAATTTTTATAGCACAATTACTCTTAACTAATTTAGTTAAAAAATCAGTAATTCCCAAAAAAGGTACCGTGAAAGAGAAAAAGTGAAAGATAATGAATTTCATCTTTTGCTAAAGAAATTAAATTCCACTTGCCAATTTCAGAATAAGGTAAGAATAAAATTGAGAGGCTAATTTGCTATACTCAAAAACAGTACAAAAGTAAACTAAAAATTAAGCCCAAGATTAGATCTTTTTCTAAGAATTCTACTTTTTAACACTAAGTTCAGAAAATCCTAAAAATAAAGAGCTGAATATCGTATGTGAGAAAAATACATAAAAGTGGGGCATTCTGAAACACAAGGCTACAAAACAAGTGCCCATTTGTTCTCATAAATAGCAAAAAAGGGAAATCAAATATTTACAAAGAACTCAGATTAAGCATAATGTATACTTTAAGCTCTGAAATTAAAAAAAAGTAAACTGGTATCCAGAAACTTTAGTTTAAGTACCTAGAAAGGAAAGGAAAAAATGTAGTCCTGATAAATGGCATTTTCACTATAGTTCTCATTGATCAGTCTCATAATCCATCACGTAGACAGAAAGAAACCACCCAATCATTATTCAGTTGGTTATAGATGTGAAATGTTTTCCGTTTCTTTATACCAGCACAAAACAGTAAGTGACAAGGGGTGGAGTATAGATAATTTATCAAATTCTTTTGTTTAAAAAATTTCCTTTTAAAAACATACTAATAACATGTTTTATACAAATACACAATTACCACTAAATAGTAAGAGGACTATGAATTTTTCATATTTTACTCTAGTACAACAAAAGCAAATATTATAAAATTAGCATTAATGTAATAATACAATAAAATATTTAATATATATATGATCACAAATTTTGGAAGTAAACCAATACAACATTTTAAGTTGACTATCATATATTGCTACAAATTTAATACTTTAAAGGGTATTAACAACTGCTTGCAGATACCAGAATTTTAGATTAACATTCTCTTGGCATTATAAACTAAAGCCATACCCAAATTTTGCAGCAATGTCATACACTTGTTTTTCATGTTGAAGAACCTTCTCACGGTCCCCCTCAAACAGTAATGTAGCGACAGTTAGCTGATTTGGATCAAATCCTTTAAACTACAAAAAAAAAAAAAAATTATTACAGATAAGTCTTATCCTATAAAACAGGAAATCAAAATACATTTTGCTCATATTTCCTTCTGATCTGGGCTCAAACATACCAACTCTTTAAAATTGAGCTTTGGAATTTTACATGTGAATCAAAAAGAATGTTTAATGCACCTATTCAGGTTGTTACAAATAACAAAACTACAGAAAAATACTTAATTTCAAAGTATGCCATGGTGTCAATTGTAATGACATATTGGTAAGTAATACAACAAAGAACTTGTAAGAATTATAACTGCAATAAAGCAGCAAATAAAAATACCAAATGATAGAATATAATGAATTAGCAAAATGTAGGATGAGAAAAAGGTAAAAAAATAACAGCATCCTTACATACCAACAATAACTTATTAAATAACATTTTCAAAGGAGATCTTACATATATAATTAAAATATCTAAGAATAACCATAAAAGGAAATATGCAACCTCATTAGGAAAACATGTCTAAAAATAGATTATAAAGACATATGTTCTAGAATGCCTCAACTAAGTATATAAATCTGTCAATTCTTGCTCAAATTAATATACAGATTCATTCCAATTCTGACAGAAAACTTAGGGGCGCCTGGGTGGCTCAGTCATTAGGCATCTGTCTTCAGCTCAGGTCATGATCCCAGGGTCCTGGGATCGAACCCCACATCGGGCTCCCTGCTCCGCGGGAAGCCTGCTTCTCCCTCTCCCACTCCCCCTGCTTGTGTTCCCTCTTCCGCTGTGTCTCTCTGTCAGAAAATAAACAAAATCTTAAAAAAAAAAAAGAAAGAAAACTTAATGGACTTCCTAAGATGGTGAAGAGTTTCTAAAATTTTTCTAGGTTGATAAACAGGTAGGTTATAATGGATAACAAGGAAAATTCTAAGAAACAAGAACTAGAACTATAGCAATTAAATCCATTTAATTTTCCAAGAACAAAAACTCATTTAAAAAAGTGATACCTTTTTAAAATTCAATTTATTTAAACTAGAAAAAGTAAAAACAGTTCACGCTCTCCTTCCACCCCTCAACCCCTAAAAACAAAAAAAGTTCACCTTCTTCTCCCACCCCTCACCCCGTCTCTGGCAGTTACCAGTCTGTTCTCTGTATCTATAAGCTTAGTTTTTTTTTAAATATTTTTTTTCTAGACTGCACATATAAGAGAGATCATAGAATATGTGATACATTAAAATGGAGTCTACCTCTTGAGTCAATATTTCAGAAGAGGTCTCAGACACGGCAAGTCCATGTAAGAGAAGCAGGGATTAGTTAGCTAATGGTGCTGCCACAACTGGTTAGCTACTGGGGCAGCGGAAGGTGAAGATTAATTTAGAGCTTTATCTCACATCATAAAATTGAAATAAATTCAAATAGTAATAAAGATAAAAATTTTTAAATTCCGATTTAACAAAAAAAAAGCAAGAGAGAGAAGAAATGGTCCCACCTTAGAAATGATTAAATAATCACAGGAAAAGATACAAAATTTTGAAACCTTTGCACCAAAAAGAAAAACTCTTATTAAAAAGGGAGTCATCTAAATAAATAAATAAATAAAAGGGAGTCACCTGACTCAAAAAATTATTCACAACATTTATGACAAAGACATCTAATAATCCCATTACTCAAAGGGTACATGAAAAGTACCAAGGAAAAATACCACGAAGCTGGCACCCCTGGCAAAATAACCATACTCAACTAATACACACACAAACTGTATCTAGGAAATACAGGGAAATGATGGGTCTCACTGGAATTTCAATGAGAAACATTACCTAAAATAAAGTACTACTTTCCCCCCTAGATTCAGTACCTTTGAAACATAACAGAACACAACATTTGTTGTGTGTTTGTTCCATAGCAAGGATGGAACAAAGAAACAGCACCTGTATGTCCCTAGGGATAGTGCAAGCTGGCATAATCCTTTAAGAAAGGAATTCAGCAAAGATTTTTAAAAAATCCATACTCTTATTTCACTAGATACAGGTATCTAATACAAAAAAAAAAAAAATCAAACTATAAAAAATCTGACATGCATGAAACTGTTTAATGTAATGTTATTTTTAGGAACTTCAAATCTGGGAAAAAAATAAAATTTCTGAAATTAAATGCATAACTTACTTACTTGATAAAATATTTATTCCAACATGAAAAATAATAATTAAGAAATGTACACAGCACCATGAAAAAACATCCTTGATAATATGTATGTATGGGGGGGAGAAGGCAGAAAACAAAATTAATATCATAAGCATTAAAAATTTTAGCATTTTATAAAAATTCTTACCTTTGTAATATAAAACTTCTTTAAGCCATCCAAAAATGATGTGAAAATAGAGGAAACCTGAGGTTTAAGAGCATGACCTAAGAAGAAAAAAGTTCATAATTTAAATTAATAGCAAATTCTGTTTTTCAAAAGATTAAGAAGCTAGTTTAATTTAGTATCCTAAAAAAGTGAATGTTTCATTTCTCCAATTTTTTAAATCTTCCTATGTTGTATATATAGCATACTGATATTAAGATCTACATCTTTTAACTTTATCTTTTCAAAAGTCACAACTTTCTGTTTACAAAACCTCTCTTGTTTCTTTTTTAACTCAAATGACTATATGTAATTAATACTACATATAGTTTAGGTTATCTTTCAATAATATAGTTTATACATAGTAAAATCACTTCATTAATTTTTATTTCATTAAGAACACCCAACGGTGGCTGAGTTTACTTTTATTTTTTTTAATTATGCAGAAACCATTCAGAACTATAACCAAATATGCAGTCAATGCTAAGTTTAAGGTTGTTTCTTAATTAATTCTTAATTCTTCCAGAATTCTTGGCATAAAACTAGTAACTGCTTCCTTAATCACACCCAGGGAGTTAAAATTGCCAAAACAACATAAACGGTGTCTCAGAGTCTGTTAAATTAACATCTTTGCCTGTGGATTGAGCTTAATTGAGTGAAAGTCTTTTCCTGTTTTCTCATTGTTTTTAGAGTAACAACTTCTTAACTCCCATGACTGTTAGATTAAGAGTCATACATCTGCCCTTAGTGCTATATGCCCAATTCAGAAAAATGGGCATACCATTTATATAGAATTTTTACAAAGAATTTTAAAGTTTCTAGTAAATCTGAAATTATCTCTAAATAAAAATTTTATTTTTTAAAAACAGCTTTAAGATTTTGGGATGTTGTTTTTGTTTGTTTGGTTTTTTTAAAGCATGGATCCCTTCTTTAAAATAGGTGCAAAAAGGGCGCCTGGGTGGCTCAGTCGTTAAGCGTCTGCCTTCGGCTCAGGTCATGATCCCAGGGTCCTGGGATCGAGTCCCACATCGGGCTCCCTGCTCGGCAGGAAGCCTGCTTCTCGCTCTCCCACTCCCCCTGCTTGTGTTCCTGCTCTCGCTATCTCTCTCTCTGTCAAATAAATAACTAAAATCTTTTAAAAAAAAATAAAATAGGTGCAAATGAGTTTCTTTGGTGGGGAGGCGGGAGATGACTTGTAGTCCTTTCTTTTTTTTTATTCATCTTTTTTTTTTTTTAAGTTCGAATCTGAATCTGTAATACTTATTACATTTTTACTGACTATAATAGGAAACTGTGACACAAAAGACCAAGTAACATAGTCTTAACCAGAGGTTAAGAGTTAGATATCAATGCTGTAACTGAACAAAACAAAAAACAACAAAAATGACAGGCAAATTAGATAGAGATCAACCCAGCAATCTTTTCAAGTTCCTGGATCACATGTTTGGGAAATTTTTTTTCTTTTACTGTACCCTGTCAAAAATGCTTCTCCAGCATAATCAGTGCCTTAAAAAAATACCATTTCTAGACAGTATAAATTTAGAAATAACATACCATCAAAATACTCACTTCCTGTCCCAAATGGAATTTATCCTACTTTAATAATTGGAAATAAATAAACATAAATGTGTGAGTGTGTTAGTCATGTTCTTGCAAGAAACTAAAATCATCTATTCCTCATACAAGCCTTCTGATCCACACATCTTTACATATTGCAGGAGGAGACTCCAAATGTCACTACACTGATGTGAAATAATCCTTAAGGGTCTACATGGAAATTTATTTGCACGATTTCCATTAACACTAGTGGGACTTAGTCACATATATCCCAAATACTCAGTTGACATGATAGCTTTGAAGAATAATTATCCTAAAAGCGATACTAACTTTAAGAGCGTCAAGCATTTAGCATTAGGTGAATACCTAAGAGGATATTATTTTTTTATTTTTAAATTAATGTTGCCTTTCAAAATAATTACATTCTAAATGTATTCTGGCTACTGTGTTTTGTATTTTTTGCTAAATAAAGGAACTAAGTTTTCAAATTTACTAGTTGAACAATCTTATTAGTAAATTTGGTGCTGTTACAGTGTCAACTTAAACATTTTTAATTATTTAATAAATATCTACATTTCAAAGAATTGATCTCAAACGGTGGGAAAAGTCTTGGGCCTTGGAGTCAGACAGATTTGGGTTCAACCCCGGCTTTACCACATACGACCTGTGGGCTTTGGCTGAAATGTCTAGCCTTTGAGTCATTTGTAAACTGGGAGTACCACTTTCGGAAACAGTTGTGAGGAGTATGGGATAAACTGTGCTTTTGATAGTGTGCTTGACACTCTACTATGTGCTATTCAAGATTTGTTCACCCTCTTTTGCTGAGTAGATGATTAAGTCAATCAACAGCAGTGCCTATCATAGGACAGGTGCAGGAGATATAAAAATGAATAAGAAACATCTCCTAAATTTGACAAACTTTAGTTTTTCAGAGGAAATCTACAGATCATTTCAATATACTCAATGATATATATCATTTCAATATACTTAAAACATATCATTTCAAAGATGCCTGGCTGGCTCAGTCTGTTAAGCATCTGCCTTTGGCTCAGGGCATGATCCCACGGGTTCTGGGATCGAGCCCCGCATCAGGCTCCCTGCTCAGTGAGGAGCCTGCTTCTCCCTCTCCCTCTGCCTGCTGCTCCCCCTGCTTGTGTTCTCTCTCTCTGTCAAATAAATAAATAAAATATTAAAAAAAACCCATATCATTTCAATATAATGAATTAAAGGGTTGCGTCAGAGGTAGGAGTGAAATTTAAAATATTAACATCTAATAATAAGGCTTGTGCTTTGTTAACAACCAATATGGTACAAACACTGCCAATCAGCCATATGGCTAGTAAAATGTCCTAGACATCCCTTGCTGTGCTAAGCGCTATTCTTTAGTTGTTTGATCATGGAGCCATGGCAGGATATATAGATGGAAAGGCTTCAACAGGTAGTGAGAAATCAAAAAGGTTATAGACAGCCAATAAGCAGAATCAGATCTGTCTTTTCAAAAAATCACTTTGATGGCTATGTAAAGGGTGGCTATGAAAAGAGTGGAAAGAAGAGATACAGTCCAGACTAGAGACGGTAGAACCTGCCTTAGAGTATGTTCCTAGTTATAGCAATGAGAATGTGACACAGGAACGACAGATGGCCTGAAGGACCTTTTCTTTAAACCTTCATTTTAAATTGTTAAAATCCCAATTATAAATAAAATCTAGTCAAATCATAGTTAATTTTACAAAGATGTCTAGGTCTAACATAATTCACTATAATAACAGCATATATAAATAGATAACACAACATTATTAATCAGATACATGGCTCTCTTAAGGCCTAGAACTCTAAATGCAGGCCAAAATACACAAAAGGCTTCATTACTTAGCTTAAGCATGACCCTCCTTTAAGAAGCCTTTCCTGACTCCCCATGTCAACATGCAGCAAAATCCAGCAGGCTCAACCAGTCCTTCATTTGCACCCCAGGGTACTCTTATTTCACAACACCTGCAACAATCCTGCACTCATTCTTTTATGTAATTGTCTGTCCTCATTAAACTGAGAGCTTCCTGCAGGACAGGAACTATGACATTCATCTTCCTACCTCTTCATTCAGTACTATTCCTGGCAGGTAACAGCTGTTTCACAAATTTTGTGGCTTCATGAGCAGTTTTTAAAATGACCACTCCTTACTTACCAAACTGAAACTGTTGGTTGTCCATGAGGCGGATAGATGCAGGAGCACATCTCTGTTTTAAAAAGAAAAAAATGTGATACAAATTTAATACTGTAAAGAAGCTAGACAGATAGAATAGAAATGTCAACTTTCTGTATTTGAGATCAAGAACTTAGTTCCTAGGAATATATACAGTAAAAAAATCTTAACTTTTTATATAATTTTAAATTGACAAAACACCAGTAGCTTCTATTAAATATTTGGAGGAGAAATCCACATACATAATACATACACATATATGTTGCCAAATCTTTAATTTGTCTGCAACTAGATCTTCTTAATGCCTAGCAAAGATCTATGGAAATACCTAAAAGAAATATTGGGCCTTGAAGTGGATTATTTTAGAACAAAGCAGAAATTTCAAAGACTAAAATCAATGCCTAGAACATTATACATTTGTGAATTATAATGTGTCCTCAGGTCCTTATATCATCTTTTAAAACAAAGAACATGATGGTGGATATATACTTTTAAGATGAAGAAGATGATGGTGGAATTTTTCTGAGTAAAAGCACTTTTAAAAAAAATTATCTGTGATGTCTTCATACATAACTCTAGGAACTGCTCTTTTTATCCCTTCTCATAATCCATTTTAAATAGAAAATTCCGGATACTATCAATGTCCAGAATTCTAAGTTCTTTCAAGGTTACTTGTATGAAAATAGCAACAAAATTATGAAAGATAACATAATGTATCTAAAACTGTGCCAGTGTTAAATTTAATCTAGGCACCACACTAAAAGCTGCAAGGAAAGAAAAATGAGAACAGATAGCCATATAAATTTTGTGATGCTGAAATACTACAATACAAACTCTAGCAAACTCTAGTTTAAGTTAGCTACAATTTTTCCATAACATTAAAGCAAGTTGGACTCTAAATACAATTTTATTTTCTATGTAAATTTTTAACATGGTTACACTTCTACCAAGAGGCTGCTTTCAGATGACAAAATTTTTAAACATTTATCTTCTGAGTAATAACATTTATCAATAAAATTTATATCAACACATTTAGATTTATGCAGATCATTCAAAAGAACAAAACTTAATACATAAATGTGCATTATAACATTTTTGCTATTATTCACTTTTAATTAAACAAATAGTTAATTTTATAAAATCACTCACAATACACATTTTATTTCACACAACAAAATGACTAGATTCTTATTTTGAACACTATAGAATTTATTTACTCACTGAGATAATTCAATCTATATTTTAAAAAGTCAGTGCCGAGTCTAAAGAAACAGTATTAGGTAATTTTATATACATAGCATGATGATAACCTATTGCCTTACTTTTATAGAATCCTGTGATGTCTAACTTATTTTCACATGTCTTATTTAATATAAGAAACAACCCCAATCAGGGTAGCAGAACTGGTATTATACCCATTTTTCAGATGAGTACATAAGAACCAGAGAGGTTAAAAGACTTATCTGAGGTCATATGACTGTTAAATAGACAAAACTAAAAGACAGAACTAGGACCAAGATATCCTGAATGCTAGATAAGCAATATTTCAAATACACCACAAAGCCTCCTAAAAATCACTTAACACACACACATACACCACACACACACAAACACAGACACACACAGCTTTAAAACCATATTTGAAACAAAAATCATATGAAAACTATCTATTCACTATACAATTATAAAATAAAATAAAAAATATACAACCTGAATAATTTCAAATCTTGGTATAAAGATATCTTTGTAATTGGGTTATGCTTCTAAAAACCAAACCAGTTTCCAAAATACTAAAGAAAAACCAATCTTCCTAAAATGTTCCTATTAAAACAGGCATATCAACTTCTTTTTTTAAATTTATTTTTATTCTTATTTATTTTTTTAAGTTAGGCTCCATGCCCAGCATGCAGCCCAAAGCAGGGCTTGAACTCATGACCTCAGCTGAGATCAAGAGTCAGACACTTAAATGACTGAGCCCCCACCCAGATGCCCCAGGAGTATCAACTTCTAATAAGACAGATGAAGCCTGATTAGACCAAGTTTCTTTTCTTTATAAAACAAATAGAATATCACATAAAATACATATTTATATGCTTTGGCTTAAGCACACCAGTAACATATAAGAAAGAATTCAAAGCACTCTGGTATTATTAGAAAAACAAACTCTTTTTTTAAAGATTTTTTTTAAGTAATGTCAACACCCAACATGGGGCTCAAACTCACAACCCTGAGATCAAGAGTCAAACGCTCTACAGACTGAGCCAGCCAGGCGTACCCCCACCCCCAAAAAACAACTTTTAAATTCCTAACAACAACTTGTAACTTCCATCTCCTACTGCCACATAGATTCTACTACTCCTATGCCTACAGTAAGTGTTATTAATGAAAACGACCAGCATAGGCACACATGTATCAGAAAATGGGGGGAAAGTATATTACATTTAGTAGAATAAATCTGTAGTGGAATTCAATCTCTGAAACAACTAAAATACAATAAATATGCAGGCCTTGATAAAATCTTGGTTTGAAAGACTATCTACAAAATATATCTTGGGTACAACTGAAATAATCTGATTACAGAATGAATATAGAATGTCATTAAAAAATTACTGCTGATTTTCTTAGACATGATAATAGTATCATGACTATGAAGAAAAACATCTTTATTTTTAGATGTATGTATAAATATTTAGAGGTCAAGTGCCATGCTGTCTGCAACTTAATTTCAAATGGCCCAGAAAACATAGACACAAACATAAAACAAACATAGCAAAAAGTCAATTGTTGAATATATAAGACAGATATACAGGTGATCACTACCTTGTTATTTTAAAGTTTCTGTATGCTTAAAACTTTCAGATTAAAAAAAATGGAAAAATAAGTAAGCTTCAGAGCACTTGGTACATATAACAACTGATATTTAATATTACTGAACACGATTTTAACTTGACAGCTGAGTCACATAAACTAGTCAGTTATGTACTACTCCTATTTATACTGAGGCAGGGTAGATGGTTACAGACTAACACTTATCACAAAAGAATGAAAAGCTAAAGAAAGTTTATTGTATTTAGATAATAAATACTGGCTTTCAGTACTGACTTTTTAAAAATTATCAAAATCAAAACAACAGCTTTATTTAGTCTGTTTTTATAGTGTCATATTTTCAAAAGTCAGTAAATGAGTTTTTTAGTAATCATCACAAGTAAATTCTCATAAGTAAATTCCCATTCTCTCCCTCATAAAGTAAATTCTCAAATTAAAAAACATCATCTAGATTGCTTTATGATCCTCTGGCAATTGATAATCTGTAAATGACTGCATCATTCTAAAAATATAAAGCAAGAAAAGTCTCTTAGAGTTTTACATAAAAACTTGCCACTATAACTAACTTAGTTTAAGTTCCTATAATCAAAAGACCAAAATAATGTTATTTTTAAAAAACAACAACACTCAATCTGGGTAACTCTACCTATGGTTAAGATCAGGTTATGCTTCAACTGCTATAAAACCTCATTTGGAAACCTAAAAATATTTCCTTTAAAACTTAAGAGACATCACATCAGAAATCCTGAGAATTTGAGCTCTAAATTCATTCCCATGCTACTCAATTACCCTAAGAGTATTCCATAGATGAGGAAAGGGGGAAAAGGGTCCTTGAGTTAAAGTGACCCCTGGTGGTATGTGATCAGAACTAACCCGAGAGGGAATAGTTTTAACAAGTAATTTTATTGGTGAGTTAATAATACTCATTCAGGGAATTTAAGGAACACTCAAACAAAATTTGCTTACCCAAACTGGAGTTAATGAAATAACTGATGTATTTCCTACTATGATAAATGCGTTTTTACTAGAATCCCTCATGTCATCTGACTTGTACCCAAGTATACTTTATACTTAGTAAATAATCTGAAGAGATGAGAAACTCATTATCAACTAATAAGGAAATATCAATTATCTGTGTTTTATCTGAGAAGAAATAAATAACCACATTGACCTCAGAGCACAAGTGTAAGATTGACTAAGTCAAATTGCAGCCAATCTCTTCCCTTCAATGATGCTACAATCAGGAATTTACTTGAATATATAACCTGAAAAATAAAAAACCATCACTGATTAGTCTTATTTACTAAGTAGAAATCTCTATACTAACTTAAAAAGCAACAGATTTCTCAGTCCAAACATTTTCTCCAAAAAATAATCCCTATAATATAGACATCAAAAGATTTCCACAAAACTTGTTTTTATGGAACTAAGTCATATCTCTTTCTTATCACAGAGAAAACCAGAACTTGCACTGCAGATGCGACACATTATTCGTGAAGATATCCCTTAGTTTACTAGTTACTGGCAAATCAATATTAAAACATTCCAAATGTCAGCAGGATTTCTACTATTCCAACTTCATAAAGATAAAATATAAGCACTGAATGGTAGTCCTATATCTATGGTACCTTGGTTAACATATGTATCATCTTTGAATTGAAAAAGCTTGTTTATTCAAGAAGTAAATCAAACATTCTGTGTAGACTGTAGAACGGCCCAAATTCCTGAACCTTGAGTCTATTTTGGAGATAGTCTAGTAATCTCATAGTATATCAGAAGCAAAAGTTCCAATACAAAACCCCTTGTACCTAGCCATACAAAAATTTAAACACCTAAAATTTATTGTGATATACACCATCTATAGTGATTACCAGAAGACAGGAACTGTCTATTTAACTTACACAATATCCAATGTACTTTGTTGGATATAAAGTTAAGAGCACACTATCTCACATAGAGATACGCACAAAAAAATAAATTAATAAGTAAGTTAAAAAAAGGGTATGTGAAGAGAATTCTCTTAACTGCAAATTTCTAGACAGATAAAACTTAAAATGTAGACAGATAATTGGCTCTTTCTCAGAGCTGTTACCACAGACAGTATTTTAGGCTACTGGTAGAACTGGTAAGTCCTATCGGAAGTGACGCTGGGAGTCCACGTTATAAACAATAAGAATGTTCTTTAACAAGAGAATTATCTCTTGGTTTTAAAGAATGAAACAATACATCTTATAGAGTAGATATTTCCCTCCATTTATATTAAGGGAAGAGCCAAAAGTTAATGCCAAACAGTCTCTGGTTCATCATTTTCATTTTTCATTTTTGTAAAGGTGTAATGACTTGTTCTGAGTAGCTCCTGGTTGAAATTATGTCTTGTAACTGTCCTCAAGTTTAATACATTTTGCTGGATCACAGAGTACAGAATCCAATTAATCAAACATTTGGCGAGGTTATTTTCTCTGCTTCAGAGGGAGGAAAGAACACACATGCACGCGCACGCATACACACACACACACACTCATTTAAAATAACAATGCCATTTTCTACATGTAACAAATTATTTCCAAGAATTACCACTAATACAAAGAAGTTTTAATTATTTTATAATGTAAGTGCTAAACCTAGCTCCTTTTAGTTTATTTCAACCCATCCAGGATAAATCAAGTTTAAGACAGAACAATTCAGAATTGAGATATAACAGTCTGAGGTGTCGAACATGAACTATGTACCTCTTTCCAAATTATGGTCTAAACTCTCTAGAAAATAACACCGTACCAGTTTAAAATTGCTTAAAATAAAAGTGATGGTAGGTAGAATGGGCCACCCCTTACCAAAAGGTAGAGAAAAAGCTGCCTTTTAATTTATAATTCTAAAAACCTAGTTCTAATACCGAGAAAGACAGTTTTCAGAGGAATGCATACTGATCTTTGCCACACATACAGTGTTTCCTGTTAATGGAACAAATGGTCCTCCCTCAATACTATAGGGCAGAATTCATAAGTTTTTACTGGGAAGGGGAAACTGCAGACTTCAAAAATTGCTTTTGAGCTTATTTCAACACTCTTCCCTTAAAACTTTATAAAGATATCACTGTCATCTTTAAACAAACAATAAGAGAATAATAAAATACACCTGAAACTGATATTCTGATTAAAAAACACTTTCTCCTCTCCTGAGAGGCTACAGTAGGAAATCTATTTTCTCAGAAAGTCTTAAAAATCACTTACTTACCCATCTACTGAGTTAAGTTGGAGATTATACTGGACTGCCATTTATAAGATAGAATCACATTAATCTTCCACTAAATCTTCCTTTCTAGTTCCTCACCAGGCAGTGAAGTATTGAAAGAGGACAATCCTCACATGGACAAAGATTAGATGAGATACCTTAGTAAAATCCTTCTGCTGTCAGTATAAAGTTGTTTAATTTATTTCCTTCAGTAGGAAAAGTGATGAAAATATATAAAGAGCCCATTTTGCTATTTGTAAACAAGCATGTATACGCCTTTCCAAAAGATACATATCCAAAATACAGTTTCCCATTTCAAAAGCAACTTGAGTCTGAAAATACCGCAAAAATGGAAGTGCTATGAAATGACAGTGAGAAATTACAAGCAGCCAACTCATTATTCAATCAAGAATTTGGCACAATCATAAACCATGTACCATCTATTTTAATGGATCTTAATTCTCCTGCTATCAGGTGAAATTCCAAATTGCAAATTGAACAGCTAGTGCCAAAATCTGATCATTTGCTCAATTTTTCTGCCTCAGAATATTGTTACAAAGCAGGGCAGCACACACAGTTCCATTCTTGACCTACAAGATTTGTACATTCTATAAACTGGTATGTAAATGTCCCTAAATTATAATACAAGGATTTACCCACTTCCAGGGAATGTAAACATTAATGCTTATGTATCTGTGCAGAAGTAAAACAGTGGAATATCTCCAAATTGCAATACTGTTCTGTTTCATTCATACAGGCAATATTTGAGAATAAAATATTATCTATCTAGGCTTTTTAATCAGTTTCAAGTAAGGCAAGCTTTCTAGTTGCATGGTATATATGTCTTTAAAAACTGTCTATTACTAAGTACACAGAACCAAATTATTAAAATTATAGTTTATAAAGGAGCTTTCTTTTTAAGCATTTAACCACAGGGTGGCACTTTATCAACCATCACCTTTGTTTATTCCAAACCATATACCCAATACAGTTTTGTGTAGTCAATTTAGATTATGGTCAGTGGTGAATATCCAAAGAATTTTTTAAAACAAAAGGGCAATTTTTACTGACTTATGCAAAGATGAAGGAAAATTTCACCCTCTGCTTTTCATTAGCACAAGTAGTTCTTCTCTGTTACTTTCTACCAGGAGCATATTAAATTGTACCAAAAGCCACATCAGATTATAGCAACTATGTTTAAATCCAACATTTCCATCTTAATAGAATTATAAATTTAGGATTCTGATATATTTGTACATCATTTCTCATTAATGAAACCTAAGATATGTTTACATATTTGCAATATGGAAAAGCAGGAAAGCACAAAATATGTCTACCTCTACTTCAAAGATCACATAACAACACTTTTTAACAAGTCTACTAAATCTGTGTTCTAGAATGGTGATCTTGTGAAGGGGCAGATTTAGCCAACATAGACTGAATGTGACCTCAATGAGATCATTTATTGAAAATACATACAAACCAGATAGTTGTATAAATTCTATGATTTTTTAAAAAAAATCTAATTTGGCATTCCTTCTTATTTTGCCATAAAAAACGGAGACAACAATGGCCAATTAAAAAGATGTCATTCAAAACTTGAACAAGAGAAATAATATGAACTATATCTTTTATTATAAAGCTTTTTTGGGAGAGAAATAATCAAGCTTGACTGACAGAAAGCAAATAAAAGTAACACAAAGAATAAATTATAATACAAAGTGAAAACACCTTAATAAAAAAGTCATTAAGATTGAAATTGGTAAGAAAATATAATTTAATTATGGAAAATGGTTTGTTCTCATTTTTAATTGGCGAACTTAGTTATTTTGTAAACAAAACAAAACAAAATAAAAATAAAGAACACCAAAACCTAGCTTTCCATTCTCCTAGGTTTTAACTAACTCACAGACAAAACCATGAGGCTTTGCAAATAGTTCTTTTATTCTTTAACACCTGGGCTATCTTAAATTTGAAATTACTTTCCTTTGCCTCTACGTGTGGAAGGTTTTAGCAACAATATTAAAACACACTTGAACTTTACTGCTCAGTGCTCAGATATTATGTTAGAATAACAAATAACAAATAAAAACTTATTTCCACTCCTTTATTCAACAGTCCTGCTTTTAAATATTATAAATATTTAATATTACATAATTATACATAATATATATTATTTAATAATATATGATGTGTTGAGATAGTTACATTTTAAAATAATATTATACCATCTCATTATTTTAGCATACATAGCATAATACTTACTGCATATTCTAGCTCCCTAATCATAACATAATATCCCCAAATTCTAGGAATTAGGGGCTCTTCTTGTAAAAATTTCAATTACTAACATTCGCTTTTGCTTTAACACCACCAAAGTAACCTGCCACAAGTTCAAGAATGTTCATTCCGGGACTATACTTCTTGATTTAAACTCTTCCCCCTCCCAGCAGTAAGATAAGCAAGATTAAGGGGCCTATGGCTAAGTCTTGATGAAGGAAGCAATCTAACTGATAAGTAACTGAAGCTACTTGGAAATTATAAAAATTACCTTTGTCAACTGTGAGATTAGGTGACCATATAACTGAACTCCCTGCAAATGGAAAACTGACAGAAAAAAATGACTGTCTCAGAAAGCAAAAGTGTATGAACTCAAGAACATTGGAAATGGTAAATATGTGAGTAAATATAAAATATTTCTGCTTATTTTAAATTTTTTAAAAACATTTAGGGTGGTTGTCTTGGGATGGTGGGAAGATAAGACTCTTGACCACTTTCCATTTCAATACCTTACGAAGTCCACAATGAATATGCAGTATTTGTTGGATATCATTCCTTTGCCTCATCAGATCCTCCCTTCATCCTGCTCATGATACCTGGAAGCCGACCTATATGGGTCACATCAGAAAGCTCCCTTGCCCTCAAGATTCTAGTTACATATAGCGGATGGGAAGTACTAAAGAACTCTAGGAGTTTGGAGAAAGCAAGAAGAAACAGGCTGGAGTATATTCCCTTCATTTCCTCCCTGCTGGGAAATGTTGCAATAAAATTTTTCTAAAAACCATTGTAGTTCAAACAATGAACCAAATGCCTAAAGAAATGCAAGAATTTCTACAATGATACATAGAACATAGAAATAAAATTACGTGGCATTATCTGGTCTTTTAAAAATCCTTGATAATATATCCTTTTTTCAAGAAGGGAAGAGAAAATGGGAATTCTTCTTAACTTATAGCTAAATATATTATGTTATATTATGCTGTATTATGTTATTTAAACTATAGCTTCGGTAATATTATAAAACAAAGTAAGGCCTAGTAGTAGCACATTCTGAGAATTGAGAGAGTTTGATTACCTATACTTAATTTCTGTATTTTTGGATAATTGACATTCAGCCATTATTTTAATTTCAATAACTGTCTTAGTTTAAGAAAAATTATATATTCAAATTAATCACAAAATGTCTTATCTAAAAATAATTTAAGAAAACATAACATTCATTAAAGGCAGAGTCATTCAAAGCCATCAACCCAAGTACATATCTTACCTTGGCTTAAAATCACACAGCACTCTTTAAACCAAAAAATAAAGAAATAGCAACTGCACTTACAGGGATGATTTTACATTACCTTTTCATATAACACTGGGTAAAACCACATATATAACACAACTAAATATGAAGATTATATGTGACATATCAAAATCAATTACGCAGAATTTTTAAAAATATAAATATAGATGGGTGGGTTTTTTGTTGTTGTTGTTGTTGTTGTTTTTTACCTGTTTTGCAATTTCTCTTAAACAGGCTACTCCTTGTTCAAAATTAGGGAAAGCTACTGAGCCATACTTTTGGTATTCAGGGATTGGTCTGATTTTTATTGTAGCTTCTGTTATCACACCAAGAGTTCCTGAAAAAGAAGGGGGAATAATCCAATATATCACATGCCAATTTTCTAAATCATATTTAAATCTATTTTATCTATTTATTCTATTAATTTATTCTATTCATATTTAAATCTATTTATTCTATGTGGGGAATAATGGCTACTCAAGTCTTTTTAGAAAAACAACTAAACAAATTTTATACTTTCTAAAAAAAAACAAAGGTTTGGGAATACATTTTTCTTATGTTATGCATAAATACTTTAAAACATTTTTAAGGTAACCTTCCTCCAAGACGGTTACTTTTAAATAGTTTTAAAAGTATTACAACCTATTAAAGAAAAAAATTTTTGAAAAACAACAGGTTTGTATATCTCAAACATTCAGACAAAAGTATATTTTGATATTTGTGCCTACTTTTACTGTGAGAAAAATTTGCTGGGGCAAAAAGAAACTTCTATGAGAATTTAAAATGATAGAAGAAATTAGAGGGACTATTATTACCTTGCCTTTTTCCTAGGAATTCATACAATGACAATGGCAATACTAAGATGCCCTTGTAAGACACAAAAAAACCCAGACCAGGTATTTCAGAGACAGAGCAGTTACCATAAATATCTAGTACAAGAAAACCACCAATGAAATAAATGCTCTTTCCTTTATTAAATGGAGGAGGGACAAATCAAATAGGAAAAAAGAAAGTTAAATATAAACTATATTCTATGAGATCTAAATAACTATGCTAAAATATCTGAAGAGACATGGTTATAATGATTATATTCACGAAGCCAAGCTTTTCGAATTAGTGGTTTCTGATGTACAAATGGTAGAAATTATTAATACTATTAGTAAATTTTCTGAGAATCATAAAAAAAAGGATAAAGAGGGAAATCTCTGAATTGGAGAACTTAATGATAACACTAGAAATAAATAAAAAGTACCACAAAAACCAAAGTTTCCAGTAAATTTATAATACACCCAGAATGTCAATACAGAATACAAGATTAAAAACTAAGAGTCCATTAAAAAGTAAATTACATTAGATCACAGTATGTTCATCACATATACAAATGACTGCCTACTGAGATATCAAATATGACCCTATTATAATTTGTAAAATCACAAAAACTCTGCAAGTCTGGCCTGATTAGTATTTAAATAAAAAGTAAATATACCTTGTAAATTTTAAAGGATCACAAAAATGACTAAGGCTTTATCTTTTATTTTAGTATCTTTATTGAGATATAATTCACAAACCATAAAATTCACCCATTTAAAGTGTAGAACTCAATATATTTTCAGTATATTCACAAATATATGCAACTATCATTAAAATCTAAGTTTAGGGGGTACCTGGGTGGCTCAGTCAGTTAAGTGACTGACTCTTGATTTCAGCTCAGATCATGATCTCAGGGTCATGAGATCAAGCCCCACACTGGGCTCTATGCCTGGTGTGGAGTCTGCTTCTCTGTCTCCCTCTGCTCCTCCCCCACTCCCCCGTGCTTGCTCTCTCTCAAATAAATAAATAAAATCTTAAAAAAAAAAAATCTAAGTCTAGAACATTTTTATCACCCACAAAAAGAAACCCTGTTCCCGTGAAACAGCCATTCCCTGTTTCCCCACACATATACTTCAGCCCTAGACAACCACTAATCTAGGAATATCTCTATAAATTTGCCTATTCTGGACATTTCATGTAAATGGAATTTTACAATATGTGGTCCTTTGTGACTGGCTTCTATGTTTTCAAGGTTTATCCCTGTTATAGCACATATTAGTACTTCATTCCTTTTTAATTGTGGACTATTATTCCATTGTATGTATAACTAATTTTGTTCATCCATTCATTAAGCTGATGTACATTTGGGTTTCCACATTTTTTTAAACTAGATTACCAGTTTAATATAAAACACGATACTACTCAGGCAAAGCCAAGATGAAAAAAAAGAGATACATAGGACAAAGTATGGGGGAAGGGGCTCAGAGTTTCCATGCCCTTTGCAGATGCACCACCCTCCCAGCACCTCCATGTGTTCACCACCCTGGAAGCTCCCTGGAACCGCATTTTAGTGATTTTTATGGAGACTTCATTACATAGGCATGATTGATTAAACCACTAATTCAATGTCTAGTCCCTCTCCCCTCCCTAGAGCTGAAAGTTCCACAGGTTTCCACCTTTTGGCTACTTCATATGAATAATGCTACCATGAATATACATACAAATTTACATACATATTTTTGTGTGGATGTATGTTTTCCTTTTTCTGGAATACATACATGAAGACTCTTTTAATTTCAGAAAAACCTCTGGTCCTATTCCACATAACCCTGCTCTCAGCTACCTTTTCCTAAGGCTACATTCCGGGCAAGTACCACCAAGACGTTGGGGGAATGGGGAGGAGGTTAGTTCATGTCTTGTACCCAGCCTTAGCTGGTGGGACAGAGGCTCTACCTGGAATGACACACTAATACTGGGGTCCCAATTGCCCTTAGCCTGGCTTGTAAAGAGATGGCATCTTGCCAGGAGAAGCAAACCAAGAAGATCTGTTTTCCTTCCCTCTTTTCCCCAGCATGGAGCTACTAAAGTAGGGGTGTCCTCAGAGAAAAGCATGCCATTGCTCCCCTTCCTCCCCTCCAGAGCCATGCTCAGAGACTCAGAGGCTCAGAGACTTGTTCTCAAGGGGCTGAGGAGGGAGGGGGAAAGGGAACACAAGGCAAAAAACAGCTCCTAATCTCTTTCCGAAGAAAATTACTTTCTTTGCAACAAACAGAATATGGAGAAGTTCAAACCTAAGAACACTCTGAAAACAGTGGAGGATGTAAAAGGCAATTGGGAGGACACAGGTACGTTTATTGGAGATAAAGGCAACATTGTATGCCAGCTAGTTTGCTTGTATAGAAACAGTGTGGAGGACCCCAACTATGGTCAGAAAAGAATCCCAAACACTAACCTCAGGAACTATGCCTTCTAAGAGATACACAAAATGGGTGAATTTTATGGTATGTGAATTATATTTCAATAAATCTATTAAAGATAACCATAAGTTAATTAATTCTCTAAATGAATTACAAATGAAACTTCAGAGCTATTTTCTTAAATAAGGAGCTAACAGTTATACATTTTACAAGTAGGAAAATTTTTAGAAATAAACATCTTAGACTATAAAAGGAGTCTAAAAGAACTTCTAAACCTTTGCCAGAGAAGAGGTAAAAGGCTGACAGGTAAACTACTAGAACTATGGTGTCTCCTCATCCACCAGTACAGAATTATCTATCACACTTGTTCGTTCCTATGACTAATACAAGTCGTATCAATTTAATTTTTAAAGTTGCTAATTTCCCTACCAGTATACTAACACCATCACTAAGCTTATTTGTAATTCTTTCAACTCTTCTCAACATTTTTAGAAGCTCCTGGTAGCCTTGGAATTAACACCTCATGTTAAAAGTCGTTTATACAAATGACTTGAAATTTGACAGGCATACAGTCTGAAACACAGGAATCATCTTCTCTATTTAATCTAACCACAGATTATAGAACACTTTAATAAATACTTGCTGAAACTCAAAGTCACCAGATTGAAATCCATTAAGGAAAAGGTCAGTATAAGCCATGATTGCAGACAGGAACACTTTTCTACTTAAAACTAAACTCCGAGTTCCCAGGTTTTTGTGAAATCCTTCCTTAATATCTGAGAAATGGAGCCATCTGAAAATACTTCTTTGAATTATAGCATGTAATATCATCTAATACAACCTAAATATAATCCAGGAAAAAGCTGGAAACCATTTAAATGCCAATCAATGAGGGTCTGGTTAGTGTACATTCAGTAGCTGTCAAAAAGAATGAAGTGGCTCTAAATGTAATGATATGAAGTAAGCTTTATAAAAGGAAGTGTAAAGCAGAAAGGCTGCATACATATATACTTAAATATAGCAGTAAGTGTTTACTCTGAACAAAGGAAATGCTCAGAAAAAGGGATAGAAGGGCAGATTTTCCCTTACACATCCTTTAGTACCTTTTGAATTTTGTACATTTGTCCATATTTTAATTTTGTATATGTAATTACTTATTCAAAAAGTTGATTTTAAAACACATATCCCTTTACATTAGCAAATTTCCTTTAAAATTCTAATTCTACATCAAAATTCCAAGGTACCAGTGAAAAGTGACCATGCCTTAAACTTCTATATACCTGTACTGCTTCCTCTGTAGAGTAGGCACCCTAAAGTAGTAAAACCCACCATAACATTGAAAGTGAGGTAAAAAAAAATAAAATAAAAATTAGTAAAATGAGACTTTGCATTATTGCAAGGTTAATGAAATGCCCAAGGCAAGTCTCTGCAACTATCCTGCTATGAGTCTACATGGGGTCCCACTGTGAAAGCAAAATCATCCAGGTCTCAGAGAGCAGCTTCCACTCAGACTTACATTCAACTTAGCACATCACAAATGGATATATCTAAATTCACTTAATCAAAAGCCTTGTTTCTGTTGTGTTATTATATGTATTGATTCTTTTGCTTTGGGAATATTATGTCAGTGGAGTGATAGAAAAGACTTGGATTACTTATCACTTGATTATATGTATATTGTACCACTTTATACACTTTTATATTTTATATCTACTTTATATAATTGCTTATAAATAACTCCATGGCAATATGACATCACAGAGGCTTATACATCATTCACTCTTCTGTTTTATCAAAACTACATTACAATAAATTTAAGAATTTTCTACTTTATAATTTTCAAATATAATATTTGTTCTCAAGAAAACTAAAAGCTTCAAGTGCTATTTGATATAAAATGCAAGTATTTGCTCAAAGTAAATAAACTCTTTTGTAATTTGACAATATACTCTCAGGTGACTTCGGGACTAAGAATGGCAGTCATTTGACTCTGAATCTTCCCCCCTCTCTATTTTCCCCCAAAACATAAAAATCAACAAGAAACAGAAAAACACATATAATAATGAAACAAAACTTTCAATATTACTAGGAGACAAAAAAACACTCTGAACTTCACATTACCTGTTAAACAGAGATAAAACAAATTCCAAAAGACCTACTACAGCCTTCTACCTGCTGCCAGCTTGTAAGGGTAGAAAGTAAAGGGAGGCTTAAAAGATTTTATATGAAAAAATAGACAGTATCAGAGGACTTGGAGGAAGCAAAGATAAAATCAACCACAGACAGCAAAAGTACAACAATAATACCAAAATCCTGTACAGGGAAATCCACAGCCCTGGCTATGGGGAGGGGTCTGAAAATGGGAAGAACTAGAAATGGCAGCCTTGGAGAAGCAAGGGGAGTATTTTCAGGGAGCGTCATATTCAGAGAAGTGTGGCACTCCTTGGAGACAAAGTAATGATGGGAAAGAATGAAGTAAGAGAGGGAAATTAAAGACCCTATAGAAATAAAAGAGAAAGAAGACATGCCAAGCCTTCTTCCACCAAAAATACCACTCCACAAAACAAGTAGCACAAGAGAGGGTAGGAGTGACAGAAAAGGACATTCCCAAACTAGGAAACACTTTCTAAGTAATAAATAGCAATAGAAAAAAGCAGACCAAATCCACAAAAACTACTGGAAAAAGACAAAATATAAACAAAAGGTTTTCTGCTGATGAAAAGTCTCTCCCTTAAACCAACCAATATGCTGGAAAAAAAACAGTAATAAACATCTCAAACTGAATTAAATACTGTCAAGCAAGCATTTAGGGATATTAAAAAAAAATACCTGAGTCAGAAATACAAACATTAAAAGTGGACAAAACACAAGAAGAAATGAAGTAAGAGATGACTAATTTCAGGAAAGAAAAAGAACAGCAGCAACAACAATAAAAAAAAAAAACATATAAAAACTGAAGGCTAAGTTATAAGGTACCCAAGGAGAACAGAGAATAGATTCAAATGATGACTCAATAAAGGGCATTGAAGAAAAGCAGGAAAATAACCAAGAGAATGAAAATGAAATAAAGAAAAAAGGTGGGGAATAAAAAGGGTCAGAGAAATAGTGGTTGAAATGCCAAAAAGCAAACATAATCAGACATAGTATAATTGGTGTCCCTGAAGAAGAAAAATCAAAACAATGGGGGGAAAACCCCTAATATTTAACACTAGATACAAAAAAAACTTTCCAGAAAGAATAAAAGATGTAAATATAAACATAGAAAGGGTCCACTGGGCACCACACAAAACAACCTAGGACAATCAACTCTGAGTTATAAAAGTTGTAGACTTCAATAATAAAGAAAAAAATCCTCAGGACACTCAGGTGAAAAAGGGAAACAAGCTATAAAGGCAAAAGAACTAGCATTAGATTTCTTTAAAACAACATATAAAACCGGGCAACACTGGGACAGTAGTTTCAAGAAAGAAGGAAAGAAAGTGCAACCCATGGATATTATAATAACTACTCAAGCTGTCCTCAAGTGTCAAGGTCATACAAAAGGTAAAAATACACAAAGGACTGATAATAAGCATTTCACTTATTTCAACATAGAGCAAAGGCGAAAACAAGGGTGGGTCATGGGTTAAAAAAGTAAAAATGTAGCTTTTAACCATTTTTCAAATAAAAGAGCAAATTCTTTTGAATTACTAGTAAATTCCATACATAAGAAAAGAATGCAAAGCATTTCAGAGGCTTTAACTATTTATTATAATTTTCATTATATTGATGTTATAGCATCTAAAATGGAAGGAAGCTGCTAATTGAAAAAAATCATTATGAAAAACTCATAACACAAAACAAGACAAAAACATTAAATTTAACATGGTTAGTCACATGAAGAACTTAGTAGGATCAGGAAAATACATTTTTTTAATGATAATCCTTTCAAGGTTGTCATCAGATGATTTAATTATAGCAAGAAAGTATTTTTAAAACTTGAGAAAAAGTTTATGATTCACATTTAAAGTAGGAGGTTATTATTTAGATTGGCTCAAGATAGCAGATAAAAATACATATTATAAAAGAATATGAACTTGTTGTGATGAGTACCAGGTGATATACAGAAGTGCTGAATCACTATATTGTACTCCTGAAACTAATATTATACTGTATGCTAACTAGAATTTAAATAAAAACTTTAAAAAAATAAAATTCAAAAGTAAAAAATAAAACAAAAAAGAATATGATTTCACATAAATTAACTTTCTCAATCATGCTGTCTCCTGGCCTACATTAAGATGACTCTATATCCACATACAGAGATGGAGATTAAGGACTATAAATACACTTGTAAAGATCACTGATGCCAAAATAATAAACAGCAACAACAATAGCAATAAATTTAACATTTGTTGAATACTTACTAAATGCTTATAGACTGCTTATCATAATCTCATTTAATACTCACAAAAGCTTATTAAGATGGATTTTTTTATTATCCCCATTTTATAGCTGAGGACACTGGCATAGAGAATTACCTAATTTACACAAAGTCACAGAAATTTAAGTGGTGGAACCAGGATTGAGATCCAGATCTGAAAGATTTCATCATTCTTGCTCCTAAATCACTATGGCATTTTACACGTATGTTTATGGTAAGATCTCATTTAAATACAGTAATCTGCCCTAGTACATACATTTAACAAATCATATTTCTTTGCTTACTTTATTATTATGAGTTTACCTTCCTTAAATTCAGAGAATAATTTACTATTGAGGGAGGTAGTCTAGTCATTTAGTTTATCTAGTCATTAAATAAACTATTTTAAAAGGCATAAAAGACCAAATTATCTCTCCAGTTACCCTGTAACCCTTACCACTACTCTATTCCTAGACCTGCTGCCTACTCCACTCTACAGTTAAATCTTATGTTCCAGTTACACTGGAAACCTGGCCACTTCACCAGGCAGACGTGGCTCTTCTCACTTCTAAGTCTGCCCACCTGCAGTTCTCTCTGCAGGGCAACTCCCTCCCCACCTTATTCCCTCAACTCCTTATCAACCTTCAAGGACCACTTTAGGCATGACCCCTCTGAAAAGGTCTTCTTAAGCACCCATCAATGCAAACTTGTCTGTATTTCTCCTGCATTTACTTCTATCATATAATTTATTGTACTGTATTATAAGGGTCAATTGTTACCTGTGTCCTTCATTGTGCCAGCACAGTACCTAGCACCAAAAATTTTAAAATACTAAGCGATGGGAGAAAAAAAATGTCTGATATGGTTACTTAAAAAGATCATTTATATTTAGAGTTGACTCCAACTATGTATGCACAAATAGTAATAGTGTAATTAATGACTATCAGTTTTAATACCTATTTGTTACTCAGTTTGACACCTGGTGGCAAAAGGTTATATATTTTAGTTAACTTTTGGATGATGTGTTAGCATAAGAAGTTGCAGAATATTTACCAAAGAATGATATTATTTTAAGAGAATTTAACATTTTTTTCTCATTAAAAATGTAGTTCTATTTTTCCATAGAAGAGTATACTGATCAGAAAAAGAGTAAGAGGGTAAACTGGTAAGACATCTTGACAAAGGTTTATCATTGATTATCATGAAAAAATACCTAAGCTATATCATTGGTCATCAAATCACTAGTTGACCTGTAGCCTGTCACTGAGACATAATTTGTTATTTTTTCTCTCCCTGATGTTACTATCAAAGATAGAATTTATGTCCTATCATCCTAGTTTATTGTAATTGCTCAGCTAAATGTTTTGAAAATCTATCTCTTTTTAGCTTGTACCACATCTTCTAAACTAGTAATGAGTTCCTCCACTCATTTAGAGACACTTATTTTATCTTATTTCTCTGGATTTAAGGGATATCCCTCTCTACCATTTTAAGAATTGACAAACACGACTATGTTCATCTTATCCATAAAATTCACCACATAAAAGTTAGTTTGCAAAATAGAAGGTCAGTTTTTTCCTGATCAGTACAGCAATTAAATGTTTTGTATGAGATAAAGAACTATATTCTAATCCATCCCAGCATTAAGTAACCAAGCAAAGAATAGTAGTTTAAAAAAAAAGAAAGTCCAACATGTTTTAAAAGATATGTAAATCAACAGGATTTTAAATTCCACTTCTTCAAAGAATCAAATAGCAAGTAACAAAAGGTACAATTATAGAAAGACAAGACACTAAGACAGTACTTTCTCAGCCCTTTCCCCTGAGAAGTCAGACAAGATTAGAGAATACTATAAAATTTTAAAGCAAACCATTTTAAATCTTAACAACTACTCTTCCTAAAATCATTGATTAAAAACTCTAAAACAAAAATAAAATACCAAAAAGGCTAACTTATCTCTAAAACTATAAAAACCAAAACGTAAAAGGGATGTTTAATAAGATGTTCTCATAATAAAAACTTTATGAAGTACTAAATTAAAATAATAAAACTTAAAAAAAATCACCATTCTTTAAATATATAAAACATGTCCTTCTTTCAAAGATCTTATATCACAATATCACAGATTTTCAGAAAACTGAGTCACTAACCTGTATTTCTTTGTAATAAATTTAGTTATATTTACCTTCAGATCCCATGATGAAGTGATGGATATCAGGGCCTGTTGACATACGAGGTCCTTGACAGCTTTTTTCTATTATACCTCTAGGTGTTACCATTTTTATATGAACCACCTGTTTAATACAATGCACGATGTAAATTCTACGTATTTGTCAGTGAATGTTGTGTGTGTGTGTACACACATCCATCTATATTTATTAAAAACTCTACATTTAAAGATATTGGATTAAGTGATAAATGGTGATACCCTTCAGAATTCTAATATCTTTTAATAATTCTTAGACTAAAAATAAATTGTATACAACTTTAAAAGAAGAAAAAAATGATTCTAAGATTGTTATTGATTTGGGTATATTCATTCATCATCCTAAAAAAATGAAAAGCACTTTTCTTCAAACCAAATTTAGTCTAGGATTATCCATGTGGCAAAGAACTAAGGGACGAAAGAAATAATCAATGATCATATTTTAATAGGTTCATTCTTTCACTTATTTAACAGTACTGATGAATCACTATTATTCACATCAAACTGCTTCAAATGCTTAGAATTCTAAGAGAACACTTATTCTTGCCTTATTCCCACCCTCAATTTATCTACTTTGCCCACTTAGTAGAAAAGAATGAAGTATTAATTATAATCAGGTCAAAAATGGGATCAAGAGGGAGATGTAGTGATTGAATTAAAGAGAAGAAAAGAGAGATGCATGTGATACAAGTCTCACACCAGTGAGAAAGTAAGTAAATTAGAGGTAGAGGGTCACTCAAAAGTAGTTCCTGAAACCCAAATCAGGAAATGGTTAGGTGAAAATCCAACACATTTTTACAATAGCTTTCTGACAGATAAACAAAAATAGTCTATTTATTATTTAAGGAAATGAGCAGAGGACATCAATAAACAATTCACAAAACAAAAACTAAAAATCACCAATGAGGACATTTTAAAAGTATACATTCACTAGCAATTAAAGAAATAAAAAAATTAAAAAGACAAAAATATAAATAAAGGGTCCAAATAAAATAAAGATTCTCATAGTGCTAGTGGGAATGCCAAATGGCACAAATTTCTATGAAGCATTTTGGCGATAAAGATTCAAAGACTTAAAAAACATATATAAACATCTTGATTCAACAATTCAAGCTCTCTAGGAACTTGCTCAAAGAAAGTGATTAAAGATGTATGCTGAAGAAATTACTAAAGAAGATATTTTCCCCTTTGTTTCCTACAACTTTGAAATCAAGGATAATTTAAATATTCACTAATAGGGAATTACTTTAATAAACCATGAATTATCAATAAAAGAGAATTATATGCACTCTAAAAATGATAGCGTACATTTACATTTGTCTTTGTTCATTTACAAGTTAATATACTGACAATATAGTTTAAGGAGATTAAACACAGCATGATCCTTTTTTATATTAAAAGCTAGATATACACATGCAAATAAGCACGTTAGGATATATGCTTATAATCTGTGGTCCTTAAGGCTCTCCAAAAAAGGAATAAAATAAATTACATGCTTTAGCAGTACTAAATGTAGCAGTCTATCACATGTTTGCTTAACTATGATAAAGTTTTTAATAATCCAATAGTAAAAAGATTAAATTCTCTCCTCTGAAATTGAATTTGTTTTATTTGTAAAAAGAAAAATGTGATTTCTAAAATATCCTCAATTTAAAATAAAACAGGATAATGTACACATTTTAAGTGTTTATAATATACACTTATAATAATTCCATGCAGTGAGTATCATTAGTTTACTTTACTGAAGAGGAAACAAGTTTAGAAAGGTGAACCAATTTGCACAAGGTCACACAACTAATCACTGGAAAAGCTACACATGGAACAAATGATATCTAATCCCTAGCCAGAATGCCCACAGTTACACTATTACCACACTAGCTCCCAGAACACTGGCACCAGATCAGCTAAAATAAAATGGTGTGCACATAAACCATTACAGGTCATACTGCCACCTACTAGAACATTTTCAATCAGGCTCTTTAATTCTATACAGAAAAAAATTTTTAAGAAAAATAAGTATAAACTCTCCTAAGGCAAAAAAGTGGCAATGATGATGAGATCATTTAAATAAATAGACTAAAACCTTGGGAGAGTTCAAGACTGAGGCTCCAAGAAGCTTATAAAATAATGTTTATATATAAGTAAGATACTATGAAGCATCTATAAACCTTAAATATCAGTCACTTGAAAAGGAGCAACTGTAAATAATGACCACAGTTGTCTTTAAACTGCTTCCACTATACATAGTCAACTTTACTATAATCAAAAGGGGTATACTTTTGGGAAGACCCTACCATTCAACTCTAAAAAAGGCTTTAATCACTTCACAGTAATAGACTAATCAATTATGACACAGTAAACCAGAAAAAAATTTACCAGGTCCTCAATATTGCCATAGATATTCTTCTTCATGCCCGATGCCCGAGTAGATACCCATCCTCCCACAGTGCTGAATTCCAGGGAATCTGGTTCATGACCTGTACAATAACCACTTTCTTTAAGCTGAAAAACAAAAAATGTAGTATTTTACTAGTGAAAATGGGACCATTTCACATAGCATTCAACACATTAACTCTTCACACTTTAAAATTTCCATATGTCACTGGTATTTGGACTCATTAAAACCTATATAGAAAAAGAAATACTTTTATCATGCTCATCCAAAACAATTTTTAAGCTTTTGCCCAGTGGAAAACTTCACAAAACTGAAAAATGTGGACCAAAAGACAGGTTCGCTAGCCAATCTTACTCCTTACATCCTTTTAAAATAAAATCAACTACTGTCCCTACTTTTTTTTTTATCACAAAGAGACAATTTAAATACTTATGGGGATCAGATTATGCTTAAATAACTGCCAACTTCACCTAAACACTTTCAATAAATAAAGCACTTAATCTCTTGTTCTCCCTACCCTAATATAATATGCAGCAGGCCTGCAGAAAATCTAAGCAAATTGCCTGTACTTAATTCTCTCAAGGAGTCATGTGTTTTAATGTACAGCCATCTGGCTAGGTTTCCTGAATGTAATACCATCATTTATTTGTGATGCAGATCATGCATTCCTGTACATTAAATAGTCACTTGTTTCTCATTTTTCTGTATTAGCTTGGCTTTGCCATCTGCACAGCACCTGAAGTTGAATGGATGCCCTTTACTGCAATACCACCAAAGCCATTCCACTGAAATCATTTTAAAGACTCAGCCATCTCATGTCAAATGGTACAGGCACCACCATCTGCACACTCACTGTCGACTGCACTCAAGCCCATCAATCTGTATTGACCATTTTGATAGTCATCCAGTTAAGCAACTGCTTCTATTTTTCAAGTAAGCCATGCAGAGATGCAGAATGTGTCAACTATGTTTGTATCTGTAAGTATGGTATAAAAGTTGTGATCCAAACGGAAAGAACCTAATAGGTTAAACATAATTTCTTAGCTTTTGCACATAAGCATTGCAAATTATTTATCTTTTCTAATATTTTTGCTAGGAAGACAACATTTAAAAAGATATCAATTATTAATAATAATATTTTCACTAAATATTGAAGGTGTTTATTTAATTTTAAGAAGTTATTAACTACTCACAAAGAAGTAGCTTAAATATATGAATGGACAAGTTAAAATGATTATTGGATTGTTATTTTATAGTTCTTCCCTAACTCCCAATCTATATTCATATTATTTACTCTCAAAAAAAGACTACGGTTAACTCAATTTTTCTGAAATTAGCAGAAAAAGAAAAAACGTTCATAGGACACTTAGATATCCTAAGCACTAAACGGGGCGTTTTCACATATTCTCATGACAAAATCTCCACATAACCTACACCAAAGCAAATTAAATCTAAACTACTTCTATAAGTACATTCAATGTTAAATATACTTATAATTTGCCTCTTATGTCTAGTAGGCTACTTCATTACCTTCCTCAATTATTAAGTGGTGACCACCGCAATGAAAATGAGGATATAAAAACAATGAAAAAACAAAACTAAACAGAAAGACAGTCTCTATGCTCAAGGACCTTGACCTAGCACACCACTTTAAATCTACGACTTTGTTAAAATCTGACTAACTTCCTACTAGGTAAGTGAAGTGTAATGGCTAAGAACCTGAACTTGAAACTTGTCATTTATGCCTCCTAGAAAATGTGCCTGCTACAGTACACTAATAAGAAACAATTTTTGGCATATGGTTAGGTGCTTAATAAATGGTACCTATGACCATATACAATCAGCCACTTTTTCTTCTAAAAGTCTATGTCTTTGCTGTGTCTTTGTTCTTGTTTTAAAGTTTTTATTTATTTATTAGAGAGTGAGAGAGAGCACAAGAGCGGGGTGAGGGGCAGAGGGAGAAGCAGACTCCCTGCTGAGCAGGGAGCCCGATGCAGGGCTCAATCCCAGGAGTCCTGGATCATGACCTGAGCCGAAGGCAGACGCTTAACCAACTGAGCCACCCAGGCACCCCTTGCTGTGTCTTTGTTAATGCCATTAGCTGCTAGAAAAATCTGAAGAAAGGTTTATAGATTTAACTCATACAGTTAATCAAACATCCTTTTTTATTTTTAATTTATTTTTTTTAACATTTTATTTATTTATTTGACAGAAAGAAAGACAGAGAGAGAGCGAACACAAGCAGGGGGAGTGTGAGAGGGAGAAGGAGGCTTCCTGCTGAGCAGGGAACCTGATACAGGGCTCGATCCCAGGACCCTGGGATCATGACCTGAGCTGAAGGCAGATGCTTAACGACTGAGCCACTCAGGCGCCCCGTCAAACATCCTTTTTTAATAAAATAACCTCTCCTCTCCATCTGTATGCCATAAAACAGAATAAGAATTTTATCTTAGGGGCACCTGGGTGGCTCAGTCATTAAACGTCTGCCTTTGGCTCATGATCCTCGAGTCCTCGGATTGAGCCCTGCATCGGGCTCCCTGCTCAATGGGAGGCCTGCTTCTCCCTCTCCCACTCCCCCTGCTTGTGTTCCCTCTCTCTCTGTGTCTCTCTCTGTCAAATAAATAAATAAAATCTTTAAAAAAAAAAAAAAAAGAATTTTATCTTATATCTGTACTCCCATTCAATATTAAAACAACAAATATTTACTATGTTCTAAGCATCAGACACATCACTAAGAGCAAATCCTAAATGGCAGAGCTTGTTACTATACAGACTGTGAAGGGAACTCAAATTAACAAGAAACATAATTAAATAAATACAGAACATTTAGAAGTGTAATGGAAAAAATTAAAAGTGCAGCAGGACATTCATCCAAGTTCAAGTAAAAGGAACTAGATTTACCCTCTCACATGAAAAAAAAAAAAAAAACCTGAAAAAACATAAGAAACAAAAGTCTTTAAACACTGGACATGAGGTAACAAAGGGCTGTGATCCCTTGAGAAAGCAAACAAAGGAAGTGAATACTATGAATGCCCCTTGCTTATACCCCAGACTGCAATGCAGGGAAAGAGAATCCAGGCACAATTCTGGCAAACACTGTGTGTGAGGTAAGGAGACTGAGTTCGAAGCTGTGGGAAACCAAAGCATCTAGAATTCACAAGAGAAAGTACTGAAGAGAAGAGAGCAGCACAGAGAGAGGACCCTGGAGATTGGCAGAGGGTCCCCCTCAAGTAGTCAGCAGAGTAATGAAAAGCACATACAAGTGAGGAAACCACCCAGGATGAGAGTTAAAAGTAATCCAAGAGGATTAGAGAAAAGTACCAGCACTCATACAGGCCAGAAATCTGTTCCCACCAGCCTGACTTGGATAATTTTTCCTTCATAAAGCATGAGATGGAACACCCAAGATGGTCATTCCTCAGTAATGAGAAATGATTAGCCTCCGATTGAGCACTGCTCTTGAACCCACCTAAAAGATCATAGAAGTGAGAACTAAAGGATCAAACTATTTCCAAATATCTACATCCCAGAAAAAAAGCTCAAGAATATTTATAGAAGTGAAAAACATCCAAGACCTAACAATATTTACAATGTCTGGTACTTAATAAAAAATTACCAAGCATACAAGGAAGCAGGAAAACAACCCATAATGAGGAAAATAATCATTATGAGGTGAATAATCAAAACCAACCCAGAACTAACACAGATGTTAGAATTAGCTGACCAGGACATTAAAACATTTATTTAACTGTATTCCATATGTTCAGAGTAGAGACATAGAAAATATGGAAAGATCCAAATTAAGTATCTAGAAAAGTAAGAAATACAATGCTTGAGATTAAAAAAAATACACTTGATGGGGTTACGAGCAGAATATACTCAGCAAATAAAAGATTAGTGAACTCCAAGACATAGCAAAAAAAAAAAAAAACTAAAGAAAAAAAAAAAAAAGAGCATCAGTAAGCTGTGGAACTTCAAACAGCCTAATATATGAGTAAACAAGAGTCCCTAAAAGTCAGGTGGGGGAGGGAGGGTCAAATATTTGAAGAAATAATAGCCCCAAATTTTCCAAATGTGATGAAAGCTATAAACCCACAAATAAAAGCAGCTCAACAAAGCCCCTGTGTAAGAAACACACACACACAAAAACTACACCAAGGTCTATCACAATCACATAACTCAAACCAGTTCTAAAAAAATCTTAAAAGTAAACAGAGAAAAAAAAAACCCCACAGAATATACATAGGGACAAAAATAAGATTTCTTGCCAGAAACAGTAAAGTGAGACCACAGTGAAGCAATATATTTATATTACTGAAAGAAAAACACTATCAACTTATCATTCTATACTCAGTTAAAATATCTTTGAAAAAACAGAAAGGTAACCTTAAACTAATAAGGAATTAAAGCAAGACTGCAGGATACATGATTAATATACAAAAATCAATTGCTTTCCAATATACCAACAAGGAACAAGTGAAATTTAAAAATGAAAACATAATGCCATTTACATTAGCCCCCCTCCAATGAAATACTTAGGTATAAATCTAACAGATATGTTATAAGATCTATATGGAAAAATCAAAGTTTTAAATAGATGGAGAGATATTCCATATTCATGGAAGACTCAATATTATCAAGATGTCAGTCCTTCCCAGATTGATCTACAGATTCAGTGTAACAAACCCAATCAAGGGGCGCCTGGGTGGCTCAGTCGTTAAGCATCTGCCTTTGGCTCATGTCATGATCCCAGGGTCCTGGGATCGAGCCCCACATCGGGCTCCCTGCTCCGCGGGAAGCCTGCTTCTTCCTTGCCCACTCCCCCTGCTTGTGTTCCCTCTCTTGCTGTGTCTCTCGCTGTCAAATAAATAAATATTAAAAATCTTAAAAAAAAAAAAGAACCCAATCAAAATCTCAACAAGTTATTTATAGATATTAACGAACTGATTCTAAAGTCTATATGGAGGGGCGCCTGGGTGGCTCAGATGGTTAAGCGTCTGCCTTTGGCTCAGGTCATGATCTCAGGGTCCTGGGATTGAGCCCCGCATCAGGCTCCCTGCTTGGCGGGGAGCCTGCTTCTCCCTCTCCCTCTACTGTTCCCCCTGCTTGTGCTCTCTCGCTCTCTCTGTCAAATAAATAAATAAAATCTTTAAAAAAATAAATAAAGTCTATATGGAGAGGCAAAAGACCCAGAATAGCCAAAACAATTTGAAGGGTAGTCTTTTCAAACAAATGGTGCTGAAATAACTGGATAACCATATGAAAAAAATGAACTTCAATCCATCCTTTGCACCATACATAAACATTAACTCAAAAATCTTCAAACCTCATTAGAGACTTGAATGTAAACTAAAAACTATGAAACTTAAATGGGAGAAAATCTTTGTAACCTCAGGTAAAGCAAAGATTTCTGGATATGACAGCAGAACTATGAAATATAAAGTAAAAAATTAAATACATTGTGGAATTCACCAAAATTAAACACATCTATTCATCAAAAGACTCTGTTAAGAGATTTAAAAGACAAGCCACAGACTGGGAGAAAATATTTGCAAAGCATAGATCTGCAAAAGGACTTATATCCAGAATATGTAAAGAATTCTCAAAACTCAATAAGAAAACAACCCAATTTAAAAATTAGACAAACAAGTTGAACAGACACTTCACCAAAGAAGATACATGGATGACAAATAGCACTTGAAAAGATGTTCAACATCACTAGTCACTAGAGAAATACAAATTAAAACCACAATGAGATACTGTAACACATCTACTAGAATGACTAAAACTTAAAAGACTAACATTAACAAGTATGGAGAATATGTAGAGAAATTAGAACTCTCACACAGTACTAGTGGGAATATAAAATGATGCCCTCTGGGAAAATGTTTGGTAGTTTTTCAAAAAGGTGAATATATACCTACCACTTCATTTCTAGATATTTACCCAAGAGAAATGAAAGTATATGTCCATTCAAGGATTTGCATATGAATGTTCATAGAAGCTTTACTTGTAATAGCCCCAAATTGGAAATAATCTAAGTGTTCAACAAGTGAATGGATAAACGAACAGTGGTATATTTACACAATATAATGTTGTGGTGGTATATCACACAATATAATACTACTGAGCAATAAAAAGGAATAAACTAATTGATACATGCAACAATATGCATGAATCTCAAACTAATTACGCCTAGTGAAAGAAACCATACCCTCAATCCCCAACCTCAAAAAGAGTACATGATTAGATTTTAGTAAAATTGTAGGACAATTAAACAAATCTACAGTGATAGAAAGCAGATCAGCCTCCAGAACTGTAAGACAATATACTTCTGTTAAAAAAACAATCAATCAATGACAGGGGTGGAGGGTAAGGGTAGGGTAGAGAGAATCATAAAGAAGCAAGAGGAAATCTTTGGGTATGGTACAAGTGTTCATTATTGTGATTGTGGTGATGGTTTCACAACTGTACTCATGTATCAAAACATAACAAATTGTACCTTTTAAATAAGTGCAATTTACTGTATGACACTTAGACCTCAATGAAGTACTATACAACAAATCCATAATTGACATGTTAGTGACCTCCCTTAAATTGTACACAAAATAAAATCAATATAATTTACAAACTAAAGAGATTAAAATGTGCTACCCAACTACTATCTTTGTGTCATTTTAGAATTTCTAGGAGGAAAAAGCAGGATGTTTTAAGCTGGTTACCTCACTGATTAAGAAACTGAAGAGTACAGAAGTTTAATGAGAAAGAACTTCAAGTGGGATCAAAACAGCTGTAGAAACTACATTACAGTTTACTGGAGGCAAAAAAGAAAGTTCTATATTGGCATTTAGGGAAATGAACTAGTAGGTAAAATATCAGAAGTTCCTAGTCTAGGAAAATGTCATTTAAATTTCAAGGAAATATGTTCCTTGAATTTTAATTCTAACCTTTCAAAAAAAAAAAAAAGAAAATTTGGAAAGGTTAAAATACTCCATCAAATGCTGTAATAAAAGATATAAAATTAGAGACATGAAAGGTCACCCTTTGTTATTAAAAAACTGCTGTGTTGATAGTGCCTCATTTAGATATAATGGAAAACTAATATGGGATTTTTACAGGTTTTTTTCATTAAATACTATTATTCTGCCCACTTAAGTTCATTATAAACTATAATAATTAACAAATCTAATTACTTGGACTTATATAAAACCTTGGCTTACTAAAGATCTTTAACACTGCCTCAACTAGTATGTTCAATTTCATTCCAGTTCTATCTTAGTGCATTAAATCAAAAATAAAGATAATAGTTTAATAATTTTTTTCAAAGCTTTTCATCCAGAATTGGTCAGTGGCATACCAATTTCATTCAACTTTACCAAGAAATAAGGGAAAAGACAGTAAAAATAAGATGGACAAGCATGTCTCATCTCTCTCTGTCCCATCCAAAGGTAGGAGGGAGGAGTCTCTATAACTCAGGTTGAACAAAGTGGTCAATGTATCACCAACAAATTAAACTTCCTAATTTTTGTTTACAAAAGCTGAGTTATAGTCATCCTGACCATGTCTGCGGAAGTTGGAAATACATTTTAATAATTACCTCCTTAGAATTCATGAAAGGAACCTAAAGTTTTCCAAGAATTCTTCAGGATCCTAAAAAAGTGCTACAAGGTCTCCAAGGGTTTGACTAATTCTTGAGCGGTTTTCAATGCAATTAGGCACTGGGGCACTTGGGTAGCTCAGTTAAGCATCTGACTCTTGATTTCGGATCAGGTCATGATCTCAGGGTCATGAGATCAAGCCCTACGTCAGGCTCCATGCCCAGCGCAATGTGCTTGAGATTCATTCCTCTTCCCTCTCCCTCTGCTCTCCCACGCACCCCCCCACCCTGCTCTCTCTAAAACAAATAAAATCTTAAAGAAATTAGGCATTGAAAAGTTAATGGCAAATACCAACATCTATCCAGTTGATCCAATTTGTCATCAACTTCTGAGAATTCAATGTCCAATATGTTCCATTTTGCTCCATTCTTACTCCTTCATTATAGGTCACTATCAGCTCTTGTCTGAATTACGCCAGTAGCCTCTTAACCACCCTTATGTGCCCCCCATCCATCCTCCAACAGGAGCTAGCCAGAACTACCTGAATACGAGGTAAAGTTCAAACTTCTAAAAGGGACTTTATAAGGCCCCTTTAAAATATGATCTCTTTGTGTTTCCCGGCTTCATCCTTTACCACCACTATACGTATTCCCACCCAACATATAAACACCAAGACTGTGTATTCTCCCATAAACACACACTAGACCTCAGCCACACCCAGCTGTCTGCAGGCCGCCCAAAAGCAAGAGCTGCCCTAAAAGCCTCTGCACTTGCTGCCTCCTCTGACTGGATTGTTCTCTCCACTCCCATTTCCTTTTTTGCTGATTTTCACTCATCCTGAAGTCTCATTTTAAATGCTGTGTTCTCCATGAAAAAGTGCTCAACATCACTCGGCATCAGGGAAATACAAATCAAAACCTCAATGAGATACCACCTCACACCAGTCAGAATGGCTAAAATTAACAAGTCAGGAAACGACAGATGTTGGCGAGGATGCAAAGAAAGGGGAACCCTCCTACATTGTGGGTGGGAATGTAAGCTGGTACAGCCACTCTGAAAAACAGTATGGAGGTTCCTCAAAAAGTTGAAAATAGAGCTACCCTATGATCCAGCAATTGCACTACTGGGTATTTACCCCAAAGATACAAACGCAGTGATCCGAAGGGGTAAGTGCATCCCAATGTTTATAGCAGTAATGTCCGCGATAGCCAAACCATGGAAAGAGCCAAGATGTCCATCAATAGATGAATGGATAAAGAAAATGTGGTATATACATACAATGGAATATTATGCAGCCATAAAAAAATGAAATCTTGCCCTTTGCAACGACGTGGTTGGAACTAGAGGGTATTATGCTAAGCGAAATAAGTCAATCAGAGAAAGACAAGTATCATATGATCTCACTGATATGAGGAATTTGGGAAACAAGACAGAGGATCATCGGGGAAAGGAGGGAACAAATGAAACAAGACAAAACCAGAGAGGGAGACAAACCATAAGAGACTCTTAACCTCAGGAAACGAACTGAGGGTTGCTGGAGTGGAGGGGAGTGGGAGGGATGGGGTGGCTGGCTGATGGACACTGGGGAGGGTATGTGCTATGGTGAGCTCTGTGAATTGTGTAAGACTGATGAAATCACAGACCTGTACCCCTGAAACAAATAATACATTATCTGTTAATAAAAGAAACAAAAAATAAATTCGCTAGAAAATAAAATAAATAAATGTGTTCTCTGTGATACCTTCTTTGTCTAATTCCTTCCCTGCTAACCCTATCTGATGAGCCATAACACCCTGCATTCAGCATTCACCTTGCAACTCTCACTCTGAATCATAACTGTCTATTTACCTAACTTTCTGTTATAATATAAGCTTTCCAAGGGTAGGGAATGGTGTCTTATTCATTACTGTCCTCAGTATCTAGCTCAATGCCTGACCCACAATGGAAACTGAGCAAATCTGTTCAGAGAATGTGCTGTGACAGGTACTCCATTCATAAAGAGGACACACAGAGGGGTGCCTGGGTGGCTCAGTTGGCTAAGCACCCAACTCTTGGTTTTGGCTCAGGTCATGATCTCTGGGTCATGAGATCAAGCCCTGAGTCCAGCTCCATGCTCAGCAGGGTCTCTGCTTGAGATTCTCTCTCTCCTTCTCTCTCTCTCTGCCCCTCCCCCTGCTTGCTCTCTAACTAAATAAATCTTAAAAAAATAAAGAGGACACATAGCAATTTTGAAAATCTTAATTAAAGGAAATAACATACCTGTCTCTCCAACTCCTGTCCTGTGATACCAGCCTCCACATGAGCTGTCAGATTGTTCTCATCAACCCAGAGGATTCGATTCTGTTGCAAAGGAAGAAAAAAGTCTCATCTCCAAGAACTACTGACATTTTCTGAGGAAATATAACTTCCTAACTCAAAATAGCAAACTAGCTAGAAAACTAGCAAATAGGGTTACCCACACTACTACACTACCCCTGTATCCCAGACTATACAACATGACAGATACAGTAACATAAGCACTATAGTGCACAGGAGTTGGGTTTAAAACACAGACTCTGTCTTTATTCAGGGATTAGTTTGAATTAAACTCTACCTCTTACCTTAAGCAATTATTTAACTAAGTCTAGTGTTTTCCTCATTGTGTGAATAATACTACTACTCATAAGGTTGGTGTAGGGATTAAATGAGATACTGCACATACAGGGGTGCCTGGCTGGCTCATTCGGTGGAGCATGCAGCTCTTGATCTCGGGTTGTGGGTTTGAGCCCCACACTGGGTGAAGAGATTACTTAAAAATAAAATTTTAAACAGAACAAAACAAAAAACCCTTAGCATACAAAGTTCCTGGCATTCTGCAAACACTCTCTGCACTACTATTAATAGTTAACGATCACATATAACTTAAGAATATCAGAAGATGCCCATTGTGACACTAGAAAAAGACACCTGCAAAGAAAGACATCTGAATATACTAAATGGCATTCCCGCTTTATTTTTAATCCAAAATAGGACGAGAGGCCCTGGACAGAAACCAAACCACACCCCTGCCTCCTGTTTAAAAAGAAGGAACTGAGTATCAACTGGCTCAACTTACCAAATGCATGACTTCCCAAAAACTGTTTTTAACATTATTGGTTGACCTAATTTTTCTATATATGAATCTTCATGAATTATTTTCTATTAAAAACAGACTTCTTTCCCCTTCTATTTGGCTGAACAATCAAGTTAACATATACTCTCTTCTTTTGGATCCCAGGGAAGCTTTCTTTGCACTTTGATATGTTTGGTTTCATGGCAATAACTAATATAGATAAGTCTAGCTAATAATAAAAAGGAAAGAATACAATAGACAATACGAAAATTGCTTGCCTATATTCGAAATTTGAATACATACAAATAATTGCACTGCTTAATTCACAGGATTATGATAAACATTAAATAAGATGATATACGTGAATGTACTTTTTGTTTTATGTTATCTAAAACTCTCATTTTAATTATACTCTCACTATAATAGTAATTTCAATATAACTCTCACAATAAGACAACAGTAATTCTGTCCTTTGGTCCTACAGCCACTAAACAAAAGGAAGTACTAAACTAAAGTAAAAAGACAGAATTCAGTAATCTGTTGGTACCTTATAATAACTTACACACATCTTCTCTAGTAGGCTGGCTCTTTTTTTTTTTTTTTAAGATTTTATTTATTTGACAGAGAGAGAGGGAATACAAGCAGGGGGAGTGGGACAGGAGAAGCAGGCCTCCCACGGAGCAGGGAGCCCGATGCGGGACTCAATCCCAGAACCCTGAGATCATGACCGAGCCGAAGGCAGACGCTCAACAACTGAGCCACCCAGGCACCCCACAGTAGGCTGGCTCTTGAAGTGACTACATACTTGTGCTAATTATATACCTTGTATCTACCAGGGGCCCAAACATATTTTTGGTAGGAAAAAAAAATTGAAGGAGGCAGAGAAAAAAAAATACCTTTATGGGTACTCACAGAAAAACCTAAAGAAAATATATAGGATACCCTATTATATTCAGTATACCCTACCCTAGACAAGTTAACAATAAGACAAAAACTTTGAGACCAATATCTTAGTCTAAGTATTATTGTACATATTTAAGAAATACAAAAATAGAAAGCTGGCGTACCTATCATATTTTGTACATACTGTATCAGAAGTACTCTGTGCAAAATCATGCAGAGACATAGCTTATCAACTCCAAAGCAAATCACAATTTTAAGCACCACCCATCCACTACAATATTTAAAAGAGTTCAACATTAAAGGCAGTGAATGTACAAGGTTTTTCTACAAAATAAATGGTGAAAAACCTGGCATTTAAAATTCTGGCACAGAATTTTAAGCATCTACTCAGTCTAAAGACTTTTATATTATCTCATTTAATCTTCACAACTACCTTCTGCATTATTACTGTCTCTATTTTACAAATTCAGTAACAGATTTAGTGGTAAATTTGTACACCATAAAATATATAGAAATTCAAACACATCCATAGCCTATTCCAAAATAGGCTACTCTTAAGCGATCTGTTAAGAAAACTGCCTTTTCTTAAACTCTGGGATAAGGACAAAGGTTAATGGGGAGCCTTACAGAAGAATAATGAGGCTGTCACCACCTGAACGTCCTGATTAATTTTAGCAACACTTAAAGTGGACACCCAGATATTACGTGCCTCCTGATGTGATGTGACGTGAGATAGAAAAACACAACACCCATCACATCACATCATCTACAAGATATCCTTGCTTAAAAAAAAATTTAAAAGCTATGCCTGAATCTAATTAGACTTTATATCTAACTTTGAGTTTAGAGGACATACAAAGCCTAGAGGAAGAGTTAAATGACAGCAAGATGAAGTGACACGGAAATTCAAAATATGACACATTTTATACTGCAAATAACCTACATTCTCCAAAGTCAGTAACATTCAAAAAAGGAGAAAAGGGGGTTTCAGATAAAATGAGACAGGGAAACAACGAAAAGCTAACATGGGCCTTGTCTGAATCCCCATATGAACAAATGAAGTATAAAAGACAATTCTGAAACCACTATAAAATTTGAATGTGAACTCGGTATTAAATGATATAAAGAATTTTTAAGTTTGCCAGGAGAAATAATAATATAGTGAGAAGGGGCGCCTGGGTGGCTCAGTCGGTTGAGTGACTGCCTTCGGCTCGGGTCATGATCCTGGAGTCCCGGGATCGAGTCCCGCATTGGGCTCCCTGCTCGGCGGGGAGCCTGCTTCTCCCTCTGACCCTCTCCCCTTTCATGTGCTCTCTCTCTCATTCTGTCTCAAATAAATAAAAAAAAAAAATAAAAAATAATATAGTGAGAAAATGTCCTTTTAAAATCAGATACATAAGAAATATTTAGTTTTAAGTAGCATAATATCAGGATTTACTTTTAAAATAGTCGAGAGGAGACTGTCTAACATGATGGAGTTTCATCTCATCCCAGGAATTCAGCTAGAGAGCTATCAAATCATTCTTAAACACCTGTGAACTCAACCGGAAAACTAAAAGAATAGCTGCAACTCTACAAATAGAAAACTGACCACTTTCTGCAAAGTAGGAGGTGCAGAGAAGTGAATCCAAGGTGATACGTGGGAAGATAAACCGCAGGGGGAGGGAGAGGGAGCCTCCATCAGCTGGCACTGGAGAGTGATAGAGCGGCAGAGCACGAAATCACAACTTTTAGAAGTTTGCTCCAGTGAGGGATGTCCCGGCCTGAAAGGGGCTCAGGTGGCGAAGCAGGGTGGAATCCTAGGTGGGACAGTGTGGTCTCAGGATCCCTGGGATCACAGGAAGACCAGGGGTGCCTAAGTGTGGCAGTGATCCCCAGCATCAGAGCAGGGAAGCCAGCTGCAATTAGCAAGCCCAGGAGTGGGCTCTCAGCTCGGGGTTGCCATATGCCGCCAACCGTGGCACAATTGGGCAACTGCTCTTGGGAGCAGGGGCCCAGACAGCAGCAGAACCGGCGAGCCCTCCCTCCCTCCCCCAGGAGGAGTGGCACAGATGCACACCACAGGAGTCTACAGGGTTTGCAGACTTGAAATGGAGTTGCATGCCTGAGGTAGAAACGTTCGATCACAGGACAGAGACCAGGGAGATACGAGTGATTGACTGCTTTTCCCTGAGTGTGCTGAGGAATGGGGCCCCAAGCTTTCAGCTCCAGGGCAGGAGACTGGGAAGCTGCCATTTTCATTCTCATCCTCTAAAGTGGCAGGAAAAGCCTTCAGAGAACAAAAAAGCCACATAGAGCAATCTGGAGCCACTTACTTAGCCTGGCCTCCTGGCAAGAGTGGTGAAATTCTGCTGGGGCAAAGACACTTGAGAATCAATGCAACAGGCCCCTCCCCCAGAAGACCCGCAAGAACAACCAGCCAAGACCAAGTTTACCAATCATACAGAATTGCAAAATTCCAGCACTAGGGGAAAATAGTATACAGAATTCATGATTTTTTCCCCACGATTCTTCAGTCTTTCAATTTTCATTTTTTTCTCTTTCCTTTTTCAACCAATTTCTTATTTTATCAACTCTTTCTTTTAAATCTTTTTAATTTTCATTTTTACAGTTACATTCTATCCTTTCATTGTATTTAATTTTATTTCCGTATATATATGTTTTTCTTTCTTTACAATTTTGAGATGTAGTTTCCTCTAACAAACCGACCAAAATACACTCAGGATATAGCGTATTGCTCTGTTCTGTTCACCTGTATGTTTATATTCTTTCTTTTTTTTTTTTTGTCTTTTATTTGTCTTTTAAATTTCATTTTTACACTTACATTCTATCATTGTATTTAATTTTATTTTCGTACAAGTTTTTCTTTCTTTACAATTTTGGGATCTACTCTTCTAACAAACAGACCAAAACATACACATGATCCAGTGTATTGCTCTGGTCTGTTCATCTGTCTGATTATATTCTTTCTTTCTTTTTTTTTTCTGGCTTCAATTCTCTTCTAATTTGTTTAGTGTATATTTCTCTGGGGTCATTGTTGCCATTTTAGTATTTTGTTCTCTTGTTCATCTATTCTTCTCTGGGGAATAACAAGATGGAAAAACTCACCTCAAAAAAGAGAACAGGAGGCAGTACTGACTGCCAGGGACCTTATCAGTATGGATATAAATAAGATGTTGGAACCAGAGTTCAGAATAACGATTATAAAGATACTAGTGGGGCTTTAAAAAAGCATAGAAGACACTAAAGAATCCATTTCTGGGGAAATAAAAGAACTAAAATCTAATCAAGTCAAAATCAAAAGGGGTATTAATAAGATACAATTAAAAATGGAGGCTCTAACTGC